CGCTCTGATTTTCCTCGGGACAGGTTCCTCCCAGACAGAGACCCAGCTAACCCTACGTTAATGTTCACCTGGGACTCTTTAAAAGAATTACTAACTCCAACTAACAGATCCAGCCGGCTGGTGCTCGGCTCCGCCCGCAGGAGTAGCACAGCTAAAAAAAAAACAGGACGTGATTCTGTGGTCATTTGGATATATTGACTTTAATTGAGGAGCTGAAGCTCTTTGTTTATGACGATGAAGACTACGATAGCCAGTATGAAGCTGTGTGGCCATCCTGTCTCTCATGCACACACACATACTCCTCCATAGTTTCAGTATTATTGTCAATTTGCAGGACTTCCAGTTAAGTTCCCTATTCTTACTGTTTCTCTCACCCTCTGTGTGTCTCCTAAAGTCCCATAAAGCTATTGGCATATTTTCTCTTTCCGGTGAATCCAAAAGAACAGATTCAGGTTCTCCTCCAGGAAAGATCTATCCCATAAACGCCCTGCACACGTCTCTCTCCAGCTGAACCGTGTCTCACTTTTGAAACAAATCACGACAACCCAAATAAACCCGCCATAAGTTCTCACATCACAAATAGAGAATATTTGGTATTATAAAGAATTTACATATATATTTCTATGTAGGTATATTATTGACATTTAAATGAAATTATGACAAAGTATAAATTGTATGTACTACCATAGTGTAGTAGTATATACAGCAATTTAATGTTAATGTCAAATTTAAGAACGAGACAATCGCTCAATCATGGAATTTAAAGAAGAGAAATTTAAAAAAGGTTGGACTAAAGAAAGGAAATTAAAGTATGTATACGGGGTGCTCTGTATGTTACTGTATGTAGAGCGCCTAAGAGAAGAGTGTTTCCTGTATGGACACAGAGCGGCCCTTTACAAGCCCAATGTTGAGAGGGGAAAATACTTTTAAAATTATATTTTAGTTTCAGTTTCTGAAAGGCAGGCTGGCTGGGTTAACCAAACACAATCCCCCTGGTTTAAACTCTGCTGTGTGTTTATGATGGAAACAATCATGTAATATTTAAAAGATCCATGAATGAGGTTTATGTTACTTACAGTATTAATGCTTCGGTGACCACTTCCCGCCTGCCTTGGTGACACTCAGCCGAACATCAGAAAGAATCCCAGTGATGATGTGAATGAAGTCAAAATAATATAATAATGAGCGATGTTATATGTCAGGGAGTTCCGCTTTGAAAAATGATATAATGTTCACACAATTTATATCTTTGTTGTTGCCCTGTCTGAAGTACTGTACATGTCCCGCCTTCTTTATCCCCCCCCCCCCTCCATTTTGTACATTCACACGTTACCTATTGGAATGTCTTTTTGAAGCATCTCCATGATAGCGTTTTGTGCTTTATATTTATTTATCCATTTTGCTTTGTTTGTTTGTTTATGGGACGGGGTGTGTGTTGGTTTTCATTCATCATATTTGCTTTTATTTTAGTTTTTTGGGTTTTTGTCAAATGTTTTGGTTCCAGAGGCCGAACAGTACTAAGGCCGGTGGGTAGATCCAAGTGAAATCAGGGACTCGTAGCTATTCGTCACACAAACTGCTGTTGTGTAAATACTGGACTGGAGTCGGTCCGCAAACCTGAAGCATTCTGACTCCTGTCCCCCCCCCCCCCCCCCCCCCCCGCTCAGATAAATTAAAGGTTAAAGTTCACCACCCTAAACATACTAGATCCATCATCTCCACCTGTCAGTGTTGTTTATAGATTAAGTCTTGTACATAAAACACAGTTTTGTATGAAGAGCTATTTTCGTCAGAATAAATCAGGGGACACATCAGGGTCGAATGCCCCACTTTCAAAATTGAAATAGTATCAAAAATAAAAATATTTTACTTCTGAAATGGGCACAAAAACAACATTTTTCTTTCCCTTTATGTTTTTGATACTAATTTGTTGGATTTTTATTCTTTTTTTAAAGGTTGTTTGATGTCGTCATTTGTCCTATTTACTTTTTTTATTCTCATTATTTTGTATTTTGTTCATCCTCAAAAAATCATTGCATGCTTGCTAAAAGGGAAAAATTGAAGGAAAAAACGTATGAAAAACAAAACAAACAAAAAAATAATGTTGAGGGTATCCCAAACATTTGTTTGAGTTGCTTGTTATAGCAATTGCTTGTGTTCAAAAGTACATTTTCTATGAAAAGAAAGCAAAAACTAAAAAGATCATTCTAACACCTTGTGCAATAAAGCTATCTTTCATACGTCACGGCTTCTGTCATTCTCAACAGGTTTGTTTGCATCTGAAATGTTTTTATTGCCATTTGTTTTTAATTAGCAGAGGCCCATGACATGAGATGGGGGAAGTGCTATACATGGAGAATACTATCTGATGTTGATGCTCAGCTTAATATTTACATCATATGAACATATAAATAGATATCCAGTATGAAATTGGCCAAAGCATGATGAAAATGTGAATCCAATGCAAATGTAAATGTAACAATGGATAGTGTACATGTGTCATTTATACTGACTTTAGGGTGCACCAGCAATTTAGCATTACAACATTAATGGCTCAATAACTGCCATGTCGTTAAAAATTCCACACCAACACTTTGTAACAAAGGCTTTCTGTTGTGTATTTTAAGTATCCGGCCAAAACTACACTTTCCCTGATGATTATGTTTTTTTGTTCAGACTCTGAAAAAGGCTTCTTCACATACACAGAAGTCCTTATACTGTTGCATTTGTTCTCCTAATGACAGGTAAGTTGGAGAATGCCCCTTTAAACAATCTGCAGATAAGTCTGTAGACACAGATTGTGTATTTACTGTGAGTAAGGTCCTGATGTGTACAAGTACAAATGGCTAAAGTGAAACAGTATATTCCCAATGTATAGTGTCACTTGGTATACCAGTACTTAAACACATATTCAGTTACAAGGAGATAATGGGGTAGCAATTTGGGATTACAAAAATAGTATGGGGTACAGTACCACCATAAATGAGCAACAAAACTGGAAATGTGGGTTTATAAAGGGGGGGTGAGTTGCCCGAATACATCTCTTGTGTTTCAAATAACTGAAATTATTACTTTTTTTTGTTTTAAAGTGAACTGAATAACTATAGGACACATGGGGAACACATGAAAGAACCACATAGCCTGAAGAATAATCAGGTTATAGATTGAACACTATTAATATTAATAACAATCGTGAACAGCCTATCACTCAGCAGTGGAGCGAGGTAGTGACAGGCCTCAGTGCTGCAGCTCACAGAGAGCACATTCAGGTCAGCAATTGATTTACTCTTGTAAGCGCTTAATGTGCCAATAGCAATGAAAAGGATAATTACACTCAAACCGTGTGATAGGCCTCATTCAGTGAATTGTATATAGGCATATATCTTTAGGAAACATCCAAAAATCAATTCCTCAGAATGTGCTCAATCACATCTTTCCCATAAACCACAGCATTTATAATCTCAGGCTGCAGAGTTCCTCAAATTAACCTATATGCAAAAGACATACATGTACAGAAGACATATTGGACTTTTCAGTCAGATGTGCGATTTTATGTGTGGAATTGAGCAGGAAGTAGACTGTATAATAGCAAATCGTGTCAACATAGGTATTACAGGTCAATTAGTGACTGATACTTCTACTTTTTAATCAAATGTAACATGATAACCAGGGTATCACGTGACATGCAGACGCCCACCTCTTCTCCCTACTGTAACTCTATTCAACCACAAGAGGACGCCATAGCATTACACTGTCCAGTCGCTCTGCATGGGTCAACAGATACTGTGTGTGTTTGTGTGTGTTCGTGTGTGTGTGTTCTACTAAAACTGTGCAGTCACTCATGAAGGATATGCTGTAAATAATTGATGTTTTTCAGAGTCACCTGCACGGTGGCAGAGGTTTTTCTGCAGGTACGATGTGTTGTGTAGGATCAAGCTTCTTTAATATGCTTCATTTAGAGCAGGGGTGTCAAACTCAATTTCATCACGGGCCACATCAGCATTATGGTTGCACTCAAAGGGCCGGTTGTAACTTTAAGACTATATAAAAATACATATATAAATATTGAATATATATAAAATAATGTATTATATTACATTATTGCCTCTGCATTGGATTATTATCGGAATAACTTCATAATTAACTACGTCTGAAAGCAGAAGTCTAGGGCAAATAATTGCAAGTCTCTTCAGTAAGAATGTCACAATATGATTTTAAAAGAAAAGCCACATTCTGGAAAAACAAAAAAAAATAAGTGACATTTTGAAAAAAGAAGTGAAATAAAAAAATAAAAAGTAATTTATGAGAAAAAAGCTAATTCTAAGAAAAAAGGCATATTTTGACAAAAAATGTCAAATTCTGAGAAAAAATACATATGTTGAAGAAAAAAAAGTCAAATTCTGAGAAAAAGTCACATTTGAGATGCATTGTGGGACATGTCGTTTATGGGCAACGTGCTTCTGTAAAGTAGCATGTAACCGTATAATAAACATATTATATTCTTTGCAAGCTCTTGTGGGGCCACATAAAATGAAGTCGCGGGCCGGATTTGGCCCCCGGGCCTTGAGTTTGACACCCCTGATTTAAACAATTATATTAATTTAGCTTGGCCCCTATCTTTAGGTAGCATTTATGCATTGTTTCACAAGTTGTCAATCAGCATTTTAACCACTAGTGAGAACTGTGGATAATAATAGCCTGTGTGATATTTTGTCAGATGACAGCATGGTGCTGCGGGGGCTTTTGAGAATCTGTCATGAGCCCACCCCTCCTATTTTACAAAATACTGACATTTTTGCACAACCAAATTATATGTTCTTGATTTCCCCGGGCTCCTTTGTTGTGACAATATTGATCTAACTGCTAGCATGTGGCTTTGTAAATTAGAATCAGACAATGTATTTTTACAAATGAAGTACGGAATGAAAATGCAGAATTAATGGATTGAGATATCTGTGGATTTGTTCAAACGGCTCAATGAAAGACACAAGGAAGCTTAGGACAATTTTACAAGATTTAATTTATTAACTATTATACAGTTCACATAAGGCCTTCATCTTCAAACACTGGTCTCAGTCAGACAAATTCCATGGTTTGCTCTTGGTGCACAGTACATAAACTTTTCACGTTTCAGCTATTTCACTTCAGCATTTTGTTTTTGTTCTCGCACTAATTTTCATGTTTTAAAACCGGGAGAGGCTTTCATCCTTCTCCCTGTGTGTGTGTTTTATCTTTTTTTTTTTATTTTATCTTTTTTTAAATCATGCACTAAACTTAAGTGGCCTTGAACCATTCACAAAAATTGTAAAAATGGACTTTCAATCATTGAAATACACACTAGAAATGTTTTCTACCATTGACTAACGGGTGGTGTTCCCCAACATACAAATAAACAACCATTATAGAGTAGTATGCACTCACTTTTTGCTCATTGAACAGCACATTTTGCCAAAGGTTGTGTCAGAAGTGGTAAGATTATATACTCCCGGGAGTCGTGTTATAGTGGGGAAAGTGCCGGTCTTAATGTTACAGCTCTGAGCGGTTTGAGAAGAGCCCAAGAACGCGTAAAATGACTGAGTTCCTAACAGCATTCCCAACAGTACCAGTAGGTGGTGATCCCAAATACTACAAAGCCAAACTACACTGACATTGTTGCAACCAAGAACCGCCACGATCATCCAGAACCTCAGTGTCTGGTGGTCCATTTTTAATAAGACAGAACTCCCTCCTCCTGAATGTTTCCCATCCAACATTTTTTTTTTTACTTCTACTGGTCATTGTATTGTGTAGCAGGACTAGCGGTAACAGTGCGTTGAAAATACTAAACCTTCCGAGTCGAAGGTCCTTAATATTAGATGAGTACAAAGAGCTTTAGATAGACAGCCACAGCAACACGTCCAGCATCCTATCATGTTTCAAGCGTTTGGTTTCAATAGACACCAGATGGCAATTGTGTTGTGTTAGGGTACAATTAGGTTACACATTCAAAAATGGCAAAATGTTCTCCTTCACTTGACTGAAAGCAGGTAGATTCTTCTGATATTATATTGGTGTAATTAAACCAAACTTCCCTAAACGTCCACTCTGATCAACCAACAGCTAGAAAGAGGACAAACTCTGAAAGAAAACGATTCTTTCACATGGCTGGGTGATTATGAGTAAATTCAGATTTCCCATCAACCTCAAATGGGACTTCTGGATCCACTTAAAGAGAACGTAAGTTTTTACAAAAAGGACTTTGTTTTACAAGCCTGCACTGATGCCACATTCAGCCACTAAAAACAAACAATATGGACAATTAATAAACGTGGCATTTCTTCAGATGTAATACTACACTATCAAAAAAGTGCTTCAGGTACGTTTGTGGATACAAAAAACAAGTTTGATGTAAACAAAGTTTGATCTACCAGAGCTCTGTAGAGGCAATGGGTATGGCTGTTTGAGCTGTGAAATAAAAAACACACAAAAAAACAGTATGTCAACAAAACAAAAAACCCTTTTGAGGGGAAAAACAACAGTGATCATTAAAGTGCATCCCTGGATGTGTATCCCCCCCCTCACTTCCTTTCCCTCCCCATGCTGACCGCTCAAGTAGAGCCGATGAGAAAACCCGAAGGTAGACCTCAGACCGCTGCCCAAAGGACCTACAGAGGAGCAGTCTAAAAATCCAGTGGCAGTACTTTCAGGATGAACAAAAAAAACAGTTTTACACAATGGCCACAAATCAATTCTTCCAGCTTTAAGGTTTCTATTTCTTGGTAGTGTAGGATAATTGGAGGCTGTAGACAGATGAGAGGCTGTGACGGACACCTCTGACCGGATGTTAAACTCCAGGTGAACGGGGGCTCAGAGGAGTCATTGATAATGGCCGCCTCACGCCCTGATGCACACGAGTATGGACACAAATGGCCGGTTAGGGAAGTTTCTCGTACACTTCCTCATCTCCTCTCTTCATGCCCTCAGTTGTCCAGGATGGAAGATGTAGTGTGCAAGTGCACTTCTCTTTTATTTATTTTTATTTTAGTGTATAGGTGATAAGGTCCAGCATCATCATGGGCACATGTGGCGTCAGCGTCTCTCACAGCGTCTCTTGTTCGGCAGGGGAGTGGTGAGAGTGGGGGTGCTGGTGGAGGGGAGGGAGCAGGGACTGCAGGGGAGACTGGGGGGTGGTGGGCGGAGACTGCTGCAGGGGGCTGAAGTGTGCGGCGTTGTGGGGCGGAGACGAGCGGTAACAAGAGTAGGCAGAGCTGAGGGTGGTGGTGGGGGAGGCAGGGAGGCCCGCGAGGCCCGTGGGGGAATCGAGGAGGGGCTGGTTGTAGAAGAAGAATGTACACTGGTGGATGAAGCTCTCGATGATTGTCTGGTAGGTGCGCGTGGCCGTCAGGGCGTCCATAGTGGTGAAGTCCGGCCGCATGAGGGTGGGCCAGAAGCAGATGGACAAGTTCTCGCTGGTCATCAAGTTCAGCCGGTGCAGCTGACTCACCCTGAGGAGAAAAACAAACACACCACAAATGACTCATCATATGCTGAAAAAAACAAATGGGAGTCTTCCACAAGAAAACAAATCCATCACAGTGACTTAAACAGTGGTCTTACTTGTGCAAGTGGCTCACTACATATTTGAACACATCATAATTCTCCCTGGGGAACCTCCTCAGGACATCCTTCATGGTGTAGAGCCTCTGTTCTCGGTCATTGATTTCTGCACACACACACAGAGAGAAGCTACCATTAATACTCATCGTTGCCCACAGCCATTTGAATCAGGGTTTCCGCTAGGATTTTTTCTTGCCGGTCAAATGTCCGGAAAGAATTAATTTTACCGGTCAAATTCGAAACTTACCGGTCATGTTTCAATAATAATAATAAGAATTGTGTAGTTTCCGTTAGCAGGTAATTACTGGACTATTACATTACATTACATTACATTACATTACATTACATGTTACTTGTTAGACGCTTTTATCCAAAGCGACTTACATACTCAATACTGTGGGCAATCCCCACAGGAGCAATTTGGGGTGAAGTGTCTTGCCCAGGGACACAACGACATGCTGACTGCAGTGGGGTTTGAACCTGTGCTCCCCTTATCCCAACACCAAGGCTCTATCCACTGCGCCACACGCCTCCCTGTGTGACTATGACCGGATATGCTGATGTTTAAAACTCAGTTAATGGGGCTCATTTTTATATTGCTTCAGTTTATAATCGTAACAGATCGAAAAGTTCAGATTCATTTTTCAATAAATGATGCGCTTCCACAAACAACAAAATTATTAACAAACTACTTTTAGTAGATAAAGTACATTATTCAAAAGTTTACATTAACTTTGAATAATAACACGGGAGAAACGGATCCTCTCTTTTCCCCTCTCCCTCCCTCTCTCTCCTGACAGCCCGTCTGTTTCTCATGCAGCTCGCTAAACAGTGGGCGGGGCTTCAGGTGATCATGCAGAGCTGCGTGTCTCCGGCAGACTCAGCAGCTGATCTGATCTCTCTCTCTCGTCCTTTTATACTTCACTCGCGTTTATGTCCATATGGATCAGATCCAGCTCTCCTGGTCGGCCTTTATAGAGAGCACCGATCAAACTATTAAGAGTGAATATCGGCCGATAATAACCGGCGGCCGATCGATCGGAGCATCCCTAATTATTACCGGATATTTTGACCGGCAGGTTTTTCATTTACCGGTTTGTCATTAATTTTACCGGCTAAAAACCGGTAATTACTGGCTAACGGAAACCCTGATTTGAATGTCTCCGTACTACCATGAAAATTATTCTTGTGAACACTAAGGCAGAGCAAAATAGAACTGCAAAAACCTTCCCAGCACCCTCCCCTCCCTCTTAAAGAAATAATCATTTTTTATGTTCTTGTGAAGACCCTCCCTGCCCAGCAGTGTTTGCTTACTGTAAGCCTCCAGTAGGTCCACCTGCAGAGGACAAGGCACCAGGGGGTCAGGCAGCTCAGAGAAGAAGCTTTTGAGGCCTCCAGCCACAGTGTTTATGGCGTAGTCTTTCTCCACCAGGTCCAATCCGTGGTCTATACGAAGAGAAAGAGAGCGTTAGAAGGATCATAGGAAATAAGCAGTAGCTGCCATCAGGAGCAAACATTCAGCTGCATGTCACTTTCCTTTAGTAACTCTCTGTTTATGTTTGGATTTTACATGTAATTATGTGTCTGCCTAACAAGTCTGATGATGGGCTCACCCTGTTCAAACTGCCTCTGCATGCCTTCCATCTCTGACTTGTTGCCGCTTACTCGGTACAACCCCTCTGTATTCAGGCCTGAGGAAAAGAGAGTGCAGCAGAGAAAAAAACAAGGGAGACGTGGGGGGGGGGGGGGGGGGGGGGCACAGTGGGGAAACAAGCACAAACACTTCATTAGCCCCCTTGGAAACACATATGACGAAACATACAGTACTAGCAGTGCTGAATAAATCAATGTATTACTTTCACATAAGATTGTGGTCAACGGTAATCATTATAAGGTATCTAATCAACAACATTAGAATTATTACGCTCAGTAAAGAAATACAATTCATAAATGTCCCTTCTTAAATCTGATTTTGCACACATCACATGCAGAGCAGCAGCACGTGTAAAAGACAACGCACCTGTGGTCTCAATGTAGCGGACACACTTCTCGATGAAGAGTGGGATGGGTCTGTCTGGGGAAACCACATTCACTAGAGGGACCCCAAAGTAAGTGCTCTCCGGGGGCTTGGGAATTGCTGGACGGGGCTTTGTTCTTGTTTTCTGCAGAAAAAAGAAAGACAGAGCACTCCATTAGAGTCTCGAACACGGATAATTATCTTGTTTCTAAGTGGCACTTGTTGAATTCAGTCACAAACGTTATGTGTGGACCCTAAACATGCTCACTTAACAGTGACCCCCCCCACACATTTCATACCATCTGTAAACCTGCTATCATCATACCTATAGAACAACATTTAAGAAAACAGTTTAAAAAATAAGTAATGCATTCATTTCTGTTAATGCACATAAAATTACAATTAGCTACTTTTTTTTGAAGGATTAAAAGAGAAAAGTTGGCTTAATACACACCTTGGCTGTTCGTCGCAGGCTCTTTAGAATGTTCCTCTTTTTTGGGTCTTCAGTCTCCTCGGTCAGAGTTTCGCTTTTCAGGGTCCCGAAATCATCCTCCTTGGTCTTTGGAAGAGCTCCTATCTCATCGTCGCTGCCTATGAAGCTTGTGCGGAAGCTGCTGAACTTGCCGAGCCTCTTGGAGCGGTCGCGGTAAAGACGAGGCTTCACCCCCGCTGCCGAGAACTTCCTCCTTCGCTCCAGGGAGCTGCTGTCGGCCTCGCTGTCGGAGCCGTTTCCGTTGGAGTGCATCCTATTAGAGTTGCGGATGGTGATGATTTTGCCTTGCGTGCTGTCGTGTGGCACCGAGTAGATTATCTCTTCATTGCTGGGGCGGGGTTTTGAAACGGCGTCGATGGGTTCGGCGTAGTCTGAGGGATCGTAGCCCACATCGCCACCAGGAACCCAGGTAACCGCAGAGGGGAGGGAGCGACGGTGACCCATTGTATCCATATACGGGTTACGGCTCACTTTCCGGAAGTCAAAGGTGACGCCTGGTTTAACTCTTACTTGTGGGGGTATTTTGTTGTTGAGTTTGTTCTCAAAGTCTCTGATTTCAGAGATGACGGAGATGTCACTGGAATCTAGGTCAGGCAGGTTGAAGCCCCCACCATGAGAAGTGAGTGTGCCATCGTAGTATGGCGGGGAAGGCTCTACGTCGTCCTCTGAATCCAGGAACATGGTGACGGGACTGGGAGAACTGCAGCGTGGGGAGTATACGTTTTCATTGGTGCATGCTTCAGCCACATTATCGTACATGTGCGTTGCCTCCACGATGTTGCGTTTCTCTACCACCTCCATCAGAAAAGAATGGAACATTTCTATCCTATGCAGACCTCCCACAACCCCCCCGGATCCACAAACCACACTATTGAAGCGACCCTCGATCTCATGTGCTAGCTCCTCGCCCTGCATCTGCTGCTCACAGGCGTAGTCGCTGTCAGTGAGCTCTGCCTGGCTATCTCCCACTGCCAGCAGCTGAACCGGGATGATGTCCTGAACTTCACACAGGAATGCACAAAGCGTCTCCAGGGAGGCTTTTCGGGAGACCGAGTACACAGCAATGTAGCCGTGCACTAACCTGCTCTTGCGCAAAGTGAAGGAGGCGTGGTATGAGAGCAGAGAGAGCTCTATCGCCAGCTTGTGTCCGCCAACTGTCTGCTCCAACAGCACAGAGGTGCCACAATTAGACATGGGCCTGCAGTGCTGATGCATCAGAAAAGGGGATAGGAGCTGCTCAACGTCATAGTTGTCCCCACACATTAGGCACATGACAATTCGAAGGTCTGCCTCTTGCGCTGGCTGGTGAGGGGAGTCTCTGAGCCCTGGAGGCTCAGGGAGGAGGGGCGGGGAGCTGCTACTAAAGGATGGGCTCCTCCTAATATCCAGGAGGCCCCTCAGCACCTGGTTGATTTGGGACTCATTGACGTTATGGCCATAGCCCACACCCGGGGAGGCAGGGTCTAAAAAGCTACACTGCAACCTCCTTGCAGTCTGCTGTCCCTGTGTTATTAGGTGTAAGGCAGTTTCTCCACCAATTTCCACATATGATCCTACACCTCTTTTAGTGACTAAGAGCAGTGAGGTTGGCAACTGCGCTAGCTGGCTGTCTCTTCGTCCTAGAGTTGATTCCCTAAGTCTCTCAAGACTTTCAATCACATAGGAGAGGGACTCTTTTGAGTTGTACAGACACAGACATCCGTGAGGGGTGAAAGTGGGGGTGTTGAATGAATTTACTGGAAGACGTACATTTCCCTCAATCGGCCGCAGCGTCAGTTCATACATCTTCCCATCCAACACGTACCAGTCATCATTTGTGCAGAGAGCTCTAATCTCATTGGCAAATTCTCTTGCCAGTCCATCCTTCCCTAGTATGACAAGGTTGATTCTATCAGCTTTGGTGTCCCCAAAGTGAGCTTTCACATCGAAAAAGGGGTAACACGTGGGGAAACGTGAAACTAAAAGTTGTTCAATCTTAAAGTCTCCGCAGTGAGGACTGCTAGGGCAGGTCTCCTTTGTAGGATGATAGACGAAGTGGATATGCTTCAACACCAGAGCATCTCTTTCAGCTGGAAGTTTTTGAAGCGCCTTGAACCTCTGTTCTTCACCCAAAACCTCCTGAATTGCCCCCATCTTCTCCTTGCTTGGCTTGGCATCCACCTCAAGCTCGTAAAAAAGCTCAGAGTACTCCAGTAGGAGCTCTTGGAAGTCTTCTTTAGCACGGTCAATGATTTCCTTTTGATGGCGGTTGTACAGGTCCAAGTACTCTGTCTCCTCGAGCCACTGGTAGAACTCTTCATTCATGATAAAGCTGCGGGCCTCCTCCCACGGCCTACCAGGTGTGACAAAGGGAGAGGAAGACAACTTTTGTTTGAACTGCAGCCTCATCTCTGCCCGCCTGCACTCATTACGCAGATGTTCAAGGTGGGCATTAAATAGGTCTTCTGCTTCACCTGTCTCCAGTAGGTCTGAAGGGATTCTCTCATCTTCCATGTTGTCGATGTGAGATGTATCCTCCCATGGTGAGTCCTCCAGAACAACAAACCAATGGGCAAAGTGCTGCTTGGATTCGAGGACCTTCTGTACCCCAGACCAGCTCAGCTGATCTATCTCATCTAGGTCAGGCACTAAAGAACTAAGTGCTAAAGGAAGAGTGCTTAAGTATATTTTGCGACGCCTCTCAATGTGCTCCTGTTTCAGACGGTAGACATGCTGTTGGAAAAGCTTCTTGCACTTAGCTGTTCCCTCCAAGAAGACATATTCTTTGAACTCTGGAGAGGTGTTCATGCGACGACTGGTGTTTAACCAGGTTTCATTATGATTCTTGACTATGCGGTTGATAAGCCATTCATAGCGATCCTTTGCAGAAGCTATCTGCTGACTCTGGAGCTTTAGGGCTTCAAAGTAAGGTATGATCTTGGGTTTACCCCTGCCCTTATCAATAAGCTGAACCAACGTGAGGAAGGCAAGGTCCACATTTATATTTGAGCGTGCAGATGTCTCAACTACTGGTAGACTCTTTTTTGTAATACCAAAGGTATGTGCATCTTTGATGTAACGTTCAACTCCTTCATCACATTTGGTGAGGACCAGCACAATGGGCTTCTTAGTCTTGCTAATATGACCATACAAATTTGTGACAAATTTCAGCTGGTCATCAAAGTTGCGGTTCATGCCCCGGCTGACATCAACACAAAGCAGGAAGCCATCCACCTGCAGCTTTCCCTCAGGCATTTGTTTTTGCTCGAAGTCTTGCTCCAGGCCCAGCTGATCTGTACAGAAGTACATGAGCTTCTCTGCTGAAGACAGCTTGGTTCCTGCTGCCCGTTTGATATAGGGCTGCATAGCAGTGCTACGATGTGGCTGAAATGTCTGGTCATCAATGAATTCAGTTTGCTCAACGACGTGCATCCTGCACTCAGGCCCCTCTTCGAAAACCCGGGATACCTCGCCCCAAAACAAAAAGTGATCATTGTTAACCACTCGACCCCCAAAGTCACTGGTGCTCAACACTGATGTGTGGTCCAGGTAGAAGTCATCAGCGCTTGGCCGCACATACCTATTACAAAAGCAGGATTTGCCAACCCCACATTGCCCTTTCTCTTTCTCAGTTCCTGACAAACCCACCACAATGAGGTTGTAAATGGGTGCCCGGGCATCTTGCTTTTTTGCCATCATAGCCTGCTGACTCTCATCCTGCCACAAACAGGCACTGTATAAAGGAGTTCACTTCAATGTTTGTCCATAAAATTGCTGATCCACAGAGGAGATCAGATTTCACTTTCTTCTGCTGGTCTTCAACTTTAAACAAGGGCCATGCAGTGATATGAGCAGATGGTTCTTTTATTCACTCCTGTGACATCAGATCCTGTAAAAAAACAGAAATAAAAAAAGAATCAGACAAACTGGGTTATGAACAGAACAACATTTTGAATTGAAATGGGTAAAAAGGTCAGACCCTAAACCTTAGGACTATGGTAAAATAAAAATTAAAAACATAATGTTAAAACATGCTTTATTCATGTGATAATGGTCTTTGCAATTTTGTATTATGTTACTTACAGTATTTTTATACCGTGATATATTCCACATAACCATTGCAAAATGTCAACTTGCATAAGGTCTTTTCCCTTCACAGTAATCGAGTTTAACCTATATCTGAGAATGATAAGACCATTTTATTGTATTTTGTGCCCATTTCCTTTGTATACCAAAATATATTGAAGGAGTGGACCTTGTCAGTGGTGATTGTAAGGCAGAATGTTTAAGGGGAACTAATGCTGGTTCAACGTTTTACTGCGCTCTGAGAATTGTCCATGATCACAACTATGGCCTTGAATGTGTTTCAATTTAAACATTTGTCAAAATCAATACATTGTAGTTTATGACATCATATCTAGTCACCATCCAAATTATAATAAAGATGATAGCAGTCAATATATTTCCAATAAGGGGTCGCACTATAACATCAAGTAAACTCAATTCCAAATGGGGAAACACACAGATTTTTCCAAATGTCATTACATTTTTAGGCTGATTTGTTGCTGATTGTGACTGACTAACAACTTTTATTATCAAATTAGAATTAATCTGATGAATATTTAGTCCAATTATGTAGTATAACATATAACAAACAAATCACATCATATTCCCCCTGAGATGCAAGTGACAAACCTATTCTGTCTCACCAACAGTCCAAATTCTCCAAGTACTTTATTTAATATCATAGAAAACTAAAATAAATATGTCATTACACACATGTCAGACATAGCCTTATCAAGGTGTATCCATGCAAAATGATCACTCATTAATCCTACCAAAAAACATATTGGGAGTGGTGCTCTTTAAATGACAATGTCAGCTGATCAGTGAGTGGGGTGATAGCATGAAAATGAATATGATGTAGAGTCCTCAGTCTGTCAACCTAACTGAAACAGCAGCCATCAGCCCAATCTCCACAGACAAATCGGTGACTGAATAAAGAACTTATTAAAAATTACTGCCAAAGACACTGAATTTGCTCAACCCATTAGGACACGTAATGCTAATAGACCAACTTCTATTATCATAGCATTGATAAATGCCTCCATCATAATAGCACTGATGCATTTCTGATGTGCTCACAATTTCAATAGAAGGCAAACATGACATATTGCAGAATTTCACTTTTGTCTGATTTGATTCACTGGAGTGAAACATCATGACAAATGAAAATATGAGGAAATGAACAACATGTAACATGAGGTGTCCACACATTAGGAACTAACAGCTCCGGCAGGGTCAAAAGCAACCATGGGCAGTCCACACCGCTCAGCTGAGCTAGGCCGGATACCAAAATGCAGACAAGTTCTTTACGAAGAAAAACAACCACACTGATCAGTCTATCGGAAATAAAAACACAGTTTACTAAAAGCACACATTAAACCAATCCCATTTACATAACCAACTTACTTAGATAAGATCTAGTAACGTTATATTTTTTGCGAAGGATTACCAGTTAACATGGGCTTTAGGGTGCACACAGAGGGGCTGACCACGCCAGGCCTGTCTACATAATGAAATTGCAGAGCCGAAATTTGGGATAGCCTACCTTCTCCACACCGACAATGTTTAAAGGGAATTTATTTACCCTGCTGGCTGCAGGGTGCAGCCCTCGACAGCTTCTGGAGGAAATAGCCGATAAAGAATAGCATAGAGAGTAGGGTACATACCATCGCATTTCTCCCTTTCTCCTCCTGCATCTGTCAGGCCAGCCCTTGCCGCAGCCCTCGCCGCCTGATGTGCATAAGCATAAAGCCGCAGAATACACTATGGGTCCTCTCAATTCACATATAATACTGATAAAACTAAAACTTGTGCGATGGCGTACTTAGATTTAAATATCCATTACCCATGCCTGGATCCTCTTGACCAGCATCACTCTTAGCGTTGCAATTAAACACGGGGAATGAAGAAATAAATATCTCGAATGCTAAAACAATCAGATTTGTTCTTGCAATGGGGTTTCCTGTAGAGAAATCCAGGCGTATAAAAATCTGCTTAGCCGTCTTCCTCTCGGTTCACCACGTTGCTTTTTCAATAATTATTCTGTCCATTGTTGTTCCCACATAATGCTGGGCCGGCCGCGCACACGAGAAAACGGTGAGTTTGTTGCAATCGCCGTGGTGTATTGTCTCAAATAATGTTTCTACTGCAACAGAAACTGTTCATGTCCTGGTCAATTCATGGGCAGATTGCGTGTGTGAAAGTGCTATTTCTGCCAGCTTTCCGATAATGGCGGCGGCCCTCCTCCCCGGACCTAGTTCTCCTCTTCTTTTCTTTAGGAAAAGGGAGCTGTGGAGAGAAGAGCAGCGGAGAGACTCACCCAGCGGCGCCCTCACACAACTGCAGCAGGTCGCTGCTCTATGCGGGGCTCGTTACTCCAAAGTAATCTATTTCTCACAATTCAGACTGTATTTATAAAGTATTACCACCGCACTTAATGTTCCGTAATTGTTACTGACTGTCACATGCCTACCCGTAGAAAGTAGCCTACGTGTTTCAGGGCTACATTAGTACAGTTGTATGGGGTTAAACAAACCAAATTAAAGTAGGGATTTATGTGACATAACGTTAGCGTTACCAATGTAATGATAACGTACGTAGCTAACGTACTAGATATTTTGCAGTAACTAATTTACAAGTTTTGTGTGGTTTTATCGTAAACTAATGTTATTGTAACATTACTCCACAGAATGTTAAAAATTCAATTGAATATATTTTTTTTTAATTGTTAAAAAAGACTGCATTGCTGTCAACAACGGTTTAAAGAGGTAAGGAACGTTGGCCTTTTTGTATGCTAACAAGCAAGCATACCATTACACCAAACACAGTCAGGCTAGCAAAGTTGGCTGATATGTGTCAAACGATAATGTTTATTCAAACGTATTTAAGACCAAACAGAAACACGTTTAAGCTTTAAGCTTTGGAACAGCACTTTTTTTTTAATACTGACAATCATCAAAAAAATTGATGGTGTAGCCTAGACTCCAGCACTAGCTTTAGCTTAGATGTAGATAAGCAATACAAATAATTCATTTTGAGTAGTGAACATGCTTAAAACACAACATGATATCATATTACAGATATTAACAAATACATTCCGTAAACAGACAAACAGTTTAGGGGGGAAATATAAATAGGCCTAATAAGTAATAATAAACAAATTAAATGGAAATGAGACTGAAGCAGCATGCACAGGGACCATGACAGTCCAGGCGTTATAGATACAGCAAAACAATATAATACAATACAATATATGCAAAAGCCCCTGACAGACTGATGTAATAAATGCAACCATGAGTAGTCTAATTGTACTCATAAGTTTGCCTGTGTAATATCACAGTACACTACCATTCAGCACCTCCACCTTTAACAGAGGCTGTCATCAGCATCATATCTGATTACTTTTTGATTAAATTTAGCGTTGCTGCCTCCTAGCGGATTTATGGGCTATAAACTGCATGAAATGTTTTATCACCCTTTGCAGTGAAGGCTTAATGCGGTCTCATTTACTTTCTATGAAGTTTTGTTTTGTGCGTTTTTTGTGTTGTAATTCTATCCATCTGGATTGAGCGGTTCAGTATTCAGAGTGCATTTGGTCCAGGCTGCTGGGAAAAGAAAAACAGACAGGCAATGGAGTGTGTGGCCAATAATACCACCAGACTGCTACTGGAGAAGGATATGGGAGAAAGTGTTAGCTGCACTTCAATAAGGATGTTCGTGCACTCTGACGATTAAGGAGCACCAGGTAGGCTTATTTGTATGTGTTTATGGTATATTACAGATATGCATGTGCATTATATTACTACATATGTCATGTGTGTACAGTATGCATGTGAATATTTTTAGGATGTGCAAGATGCATGCTATTGTAGAATAAGTATTGAGATGATTGACAATAATTGATGTAGCCTATTGTGAAAAAAATACTATTACGGGAAAATCCTGCATACAGTTAGTCAGTGTGAAATTTCATCTGTGAGACAAGATGAAAAGTTTAGCAGTCATCAAACTCATGAGGAATTCATTCTGGGCTCCAAATGTAATGGCAATCCACCCCTTTCACAAAATATAGAGGCATAGGATTAATTTCAGTGTCATGAATATTACTACCACTAGGCAGAGCCCTAAGCCTTTCTATAATTCAGAACAACATGAGGAGTTAGTGATAAACTCATGCTTGCTCATCTGAGTGATCATGCAGAGGAAGTGACACTATTGCCCTTAAACATCTTCCTCATTGTGTGTTTACTATTATTATTATTATTGTTATTAATGGAAAACATATAGATATCATTCCTAAGTAGATATTTGTTCCCCATTTGTTTTTGTTTCTAAATTCCTGCAACATTTAAAAGTATTTCCACAGCTTGTAGATTCAACAGGTTTTGTTTTACATCTTGATCAATTTAGTAGCCCTTGTGGTGTAACAGGGATCTGGGGGATGAGAGGCTGCAGAGGTGAGAACTGGGTCAGCAGATGGGTGCTGAGCGAGGGCAGTGCAGATGGACGATAGGTGACACTAAAAGGCGTCTCTTCCAAGGACATGCCAGAAAGTAAGAAGTGTTAGGTTAAGTTACCCAAATAAGGTTTGATTTGCTCTTTATTTTCAAGTTATCTTCCAAATAGTTCTACACTGAATCATAAATAATGCAACATAACAAGTCAACGAAAGGAAAGAAGAGATACATTTGATGATGTAAATGCTAGCATGAGGAGATTCAGATTAGCACTATATGTGTGCCTTTTTAATCTGATATCCACTATCTCATTTATTCATATACGTTGTCTATGAGTGTGTGAGAGACAGAGGGAGAGAGAGAGAGAATTTGAAAAAAGTGAAGAGAGAAAAAACGATTTTCCTACTACATTCCTCAATGACTCATTGTTATATTGAATCGGAAAACCTTTGCAATTTAAATACAAAATGAGGGAAATGATAGCTGTTCCTCAAACTCAAATAATGTCACAGGCAGCCAGTTTAAGGAGGGCGGAGGGTAGGATTCTTTGGATTGGTTCCATATTATGTCAGATGTTCAGAATTTGTTTTGAGTTTTTATTTATCTGAAGTTGAAGTCAGGCTCAGGGTTGCATCTTTTAAAAAAAATGTTATTTCTGTTATTCAGTTCTCTGGAAAGGAAACAATTATAAACAGCTAGATTTAGGCATGCAGATATAACTAAACATTAAAATGCATAGTTCACATCAGAACTGAGCTAATGGTCATGGAGGAAGCCCCTGAACATCAGGAAACAGCTAGGAAGGAAATCCTTCTTACAGGAACTGCTAAACAAAGATAGGAACACTTATTGAAAAAAATTCAGATGGAAAATAACGCAGGAGGATACATCAGAAACGTAGGTGGTTAAAGTGCTGTCTACCGTGGAACTGTATACATAGTTTTCTCACTGGCTGTAGGAAGTGATTTTTTTAATTTCATTAGCAGAAAGGTCGTGCCAGATGCAGGGTATAGACACGCCAGATGTGTTAGGTGAACCCTCATGTGTTCCACATGCATGTGGTTACATTGCTATTTATTGGACGCCCTTCAAAAGTAAGTTTAAAAAAAGCTGCCAGCAATCTATCTGCCGTATATTCTGTCTGAGACGTCTTAGCACAGTTCTGACCTCAAAATCTTCAAGTTGACTTTTCTGACAATTATTTTAATAGTTTGAGCAATAACCACACATGCTCAAACATTACATTCTGAACAGATCTGAGAAATAGATGCGTCGTCTATTTCAAATGGCAATTGCTGTGTTCTGTATAAATAATGGCTGCCTGCAGTAATCTTCACCTTACAGTATAGAGGAGCTTTTTTCCCCATGTGACCCCGAAAGCTTAGTCGAGTTGTGTTCAGGATCCGCTGCGGCTGTCTGATTGATTTTTTTTTTGTGCGACCTGTAAAGACATTGTTAGACAAGCCTACTGAATTTGGAATTATTCCAGGTCTATATGACATATGACACTCAGCTGAGGAAAACAGGGCCCTGAAGCTTAGCCTGAAAGAGGAGCTCGGCGAGGCCAGGCATGGATGCATGGTGCTCCTGTGAACATAAACTCCTATTTAACATACTGTACTCATATTTCAAAATAACATTGGTCCCAACAATAGTTCAGCGTGTATTCTTTTTCAGAAGAGGAGCATTTGAAACCAAACATACAGTGCATCCTGAATTACACCATGTTAACGTCTATATTATATATATATATATATATATATATATATATATATCATATTTCACTAGAGCTCTGTTCAGCTTTGATAGGGGAACACAACAATAACTACCATTCTGCTTGTAGTCTGTGACAATTAAATGACCAACTATGATCTAATTCCTTTGATGTTTTGGGTTTATTGACAGTTGACCCGCAGATCATTTGAGGTGAGGACTGTGTGAATACAGCACATGCAATTCTGGAGGAATGCAGTTAGGCAAAGTAAAGTTTCATCAAGGAAATCTGTTAGGAAATGTGACTGCAACAGTTGAAGTGAGGAAACATAGGGTAAAGCCCCTTGGGGCAAATTAGTGATTTATGATATCTATCAAATTGACTTGACAAGGGCAGACCTGGCAGGAGTGTTTATATTAAAAGAGGCAAGGCATCTTAATGGAGTTTTAGGTGACTCCAAGTGGAACAAGATCTTCAAACAGTTTAATAAACGCGGCAGTGTCAATTCTCCCTTAGTTGTGTGAATGTTCGAGAGGTAGCAGCATGAAGATTTTTTCCATCTTACTTTAGACAGCCTGGGATTTAGGGAAAGAGCGAGAGGCTTTCTCCATCTGGGTAACATTATTCAGATTCCTCAGCGTTGGATATTTGATGATGCTGGCAAAGGGAAGGGAGTGGGGCGTGGAAGCAGAGTGAGGGGAAATGGGGTGAGAGCAGGGGGAGGGAAACCAGAGGGGGGCGCTGTTCTCTCTCAGAGACAATGTGGCCCTGACAGCACTCCTCAAAAATGTCAAAAATGAAAGTGACGCACCTAGCGGTCCCTGCTAACAGCACTATCACTATAGAATTCATATTAGGTTGTATTTTGAATGGAGCTTGGACAACATTACACACATTTGGGATTATGGAGGACCAGACTATTATCAGAATAATAACAGCCTTTTGAATATCTGCAGGGTGATGTTATGATGATGGTGAAAGTTATTTCATCAGCGGTGAAAGACTGTCACTAGGAGACCGTCAGTGTTGCTGGTGAAACAATTCCATAACTCACATCCCATGTCTCTGTCTCAGCTTGTGGGAGAAAAGGGAGGGAGCCAACTAAACAGGGAGGGAATGAAAGAAAGAATGTAGTGAGATCTCCTCATGTGAGTTGTGTTTTTTCCCCCTTTTTATATAGCTGCACAGTGATTACATGTTTTTAGTTTGGGGCTCTTAGCACATTTTTCCAAACCCTCTCGGTCTGATTCACTGGCTCTCACCAGCAGCTTACTTTCCCTTTACTTTTTTTTTGTGTGTGACGTGTGAGTGGAGTTCCTGCCCTTGTTTCATGCAATGTAATTTAGAGGGAAGGAGAAGGACTTACGGAGAGGCAGGCATTTACTTGAGCTGTCAAAGGGAAGATGAAGTGAATGTATAAACAAGAGGAGCTGTTTGTGTTTTGGCCTAAGTGCTTCTGCTCTGTCCTCACAGGGGAGCCAAACGGAGAGGGGGGAAGACGTGCTGACCAAAGCTGAGAGGGAGTGAGAAAGTGACCGACGTGGGGGAGAAAAGAGAGGATAAGTTGAAGTCTGTTGCAAAGGTGGATGAGAAGATCGAGTTGAGGATTCTGCCTGACACAGGAGGAGGAGCGCCAGCCTGGGGGGGACCACCAGATCAGAGGTCTTCCAACAACAACAACAGGACAGGATGAGGTACCAAGGCAGGGTAAGATCCTGACTACCATGATGCTCCTTGTTGTGTTTTTTCATGTTAAGGGCTGCACACTGGATTTTTTTCTGGTGTGCTTAGACAGTGAAGCACAAGATCCGATCCACCAATTCACTTTGTCTCTCATGGAGGGAAAAGCAAAACAGAACAATGAGTCACTTAGAGATTTGTTTTCCTTTTCTTTTTTTTAGAGCATGAGTCATTGCGTATTTTGGTTTTTGTTTAAGATATAACCCAAGCAACCTAAAGAGGGTAAACTTGGTATTTTTCCACCGTTAGCATTACTGGCACATCAGTGGTAGAGAGCCAGCTGTGGTCCCAGAGCAGCTCGCCCTGGGACAGAGTGCAGGGGCAGGCCTTATAAGGAAGACAATCCGAATGTAGTCGGCCCAGCAGAGCTTAGTCATGGGGCCTGGAGCCAAGTCCCACTGAGGGTGAGCCTCCTCTCTGGATGTCACTGCTGCTGCAGCCACAAACCTGCATTTCACTGAAGCTCCACCACTCTGAGTCAAATCCCCTGTAAAGCTCCGTAAAGTTAGATCAGACCCCCACTGCTGTAACAACAGGGCCTCGGGTCAGTTCTCTGACAACAGAGCTGCAAGGATGACTTTATATTCTGCTTATATCTCCATCCTAGGCCTGTAGTAATGTAGGTGATGTGTCTCCAGTTCCATTATTTTAACTTCCTTTAAGATTTCCTCTGCTCCAGCGGTAGAGGTAAACATGTTTTGGACGAGGCTTCTCCACATTAAAAATGAATTGGTTCCACATGTGATGGTGAAAATCGCGAAAAAAATATATAACCCATGACTGCTGAGGGATAGATTATTGAAAACAATGTTTGCTGTGTTTTTTTAGTCCTAAAAGAAAACAGTGTTTGGGAGGTCTGATGTTAGTTCACATTTAATTAGAAAAATAAGAGCAAACCAAGATTATTACACAAATCTGGATGTTTCAGACATTGGAAGGCACGGCGTTGCACAGACAGTGCCAGCACAGAAGCTACTGTACATCTTACTGATAATAATAATCACAGATGATCATAAAAGCAATGAGATCTGAGGAGGTGGAATGAACGTTTCATGCCAAAGCCGTCTGTCACAGTTCAGAGGCATGCATTACTGTTCAGCATCAACCACTGTGAGGGTTGATGTGTCTGCTGAACACATGGAGGACTTTCTTTATAAGATCCATAATACTGTACCAGCCCACATTGAGCTTTGTGACATTATATGTGATAAGCAGCAATCACATGAATCAATAAAGGTTTCATTTAAGAAAGTTAGTATTCTTGTGGAAGCCAAGAGATAAAATAAACTTTTAATATTAATATATTTTAGTACCAACAAGAAAATCAAAAGGGGAGGAGGGGGTACAGAATACAACTTCACACATTTTTATGTTAGCTGACATTTAAATTTAAATGTAACAGTTGATCGATTGATGGAGAAAATGATCAAGTGTTTTGGTCTATAAAATGCAAGAAATTTGTGAAAAAAGTAAATCCAAGTTTCTCAAAGTCCAAGTTGATGTCTTTAAATGTGTAATTTTGTTAGTACAAAATCAAAATATATTCTGTTTAATATGACATTAAACATTACAAAAACAGAAAATCTTGAAGTTAAAGAGGCGGAACATTTTATTTTCTGCCATTTTGGCATGAAAAAAGAACTTTAACAATAAACAAATGTCAAAATAGTTGGTGATTATGTTGATCGAGTAATAGTTGTGATTGACCACAGCTTCATTTCATCCTCAGCACCTGAAGTTGAGTAAGGACACATTCAAATGTCTTCCTGGCTATGAATGCAGAAACACAGTACAGTATCCTCAGTGTTTGTTATAAAAGCACAGCCGGCGACACACAACACAGAAACATTTAGTGGCATCCACTGAGTGCTGCCCTAAACATGACCCTCACATTCCTTCGTTGTATCCTTTGGAAAATCTGACTGTGAGCTTTAATTACTATCTGTAGGAAGCCCACCTGCAGGAGTGGGAGAACAATACTCCAAGGTGAAGCAGAGAGGAGGGGCCGCAGTGGAAGAGTCCAGTGACTTTCCTTTGCTCTCGCACTTTGGCTGTGTTCCACTGTTGTCCTCTTGTTTTGAAAAGGGTTTTCCTGCATCCAGTTCTCAGAGATAATGACCTTTTACCGGCATTAAGCTGCCAAATGAGACCCTTGAGAGGCTCGTGCTTTCAAGAAAAACAGAAGTCCTGTGGAAGTCTAGCCCCTTTGTTCCACTTCTGCTTGTTTTTTTTCAAATGTGTAAAGGAAAACGGCAGGGCTTCTCTCATAAATGTACCTTTGATACTGGAGTAGAGTGCAGCTGGTTTGCTGGGGTGTAGTGCATTGATTACTCACTGGACTGTTTGTCTGGATTATTATCATCAGTGAGTATTAACTGCTGACAGTTTTATCTCTTTGCATGAATGTGGATGCGGTTAATATCTTACCTTAGGGCATATCTGAGAATTCCTCTCTGCTTAAAGGGTTATTATTTCCTGTCTGCGCTATAATGTTAGCCATCACATTGTGGTTGACATGTAAACATACTTTCCTTAAATCCCAACTGGTGATATAAAGCTGTGTGTACTGTACATACATGACTATCTCACTATTGTATCATAGAGGAGTCTACCCTGTCTGTTTATCATTTGGATTCCTTAAATGTCTTCATTGTTTAATCTTGGCATGGCTTAGTAGAGCTGTTCTTCTTTGGAGTGTAGTTTGGTGATGAGGCCGGTAAGTCTGGAGACATTTGCCCTGATATTTTGAAGGTGTCTCTCTTCATACACGGATTCTATCTTGTAATGTAATTATGTGGTAATTATTGTTATATTGAGCACTGCGCCAGATGTAAAACCTTTCTAAACTGGGTGAATGTATCATGCCTCAGAATAAATGGGATAAGGCCTGTTCTGCCCCCTGCTGGTCTACAGTAGTTATTGCATCTATTGGAAGAGTTCACATCTTTATACAGGCAGCATATGGTTAACAGTAAGAACAGTCATCTTTTCTCTGCAGTACTGCTAAACATTGTATTTAATACATCTCTTGATTATTTAGTACAATAAGCAAAACCAATTAAGAAACAAAAACAAATATGAGGTTATGAGTTTTACCAAACACTTATATTTTCTGTATGTAGCACTTTGGCCTTTTCGAAGCTAATGTACTTTGCTGTAATTAACTTGTAGCCTCATGATTGAATGTACTTATTGTAAGTTGCTATGAACAAAAGTGTCAGCTAAATGAAATGTAAGTGGAATTGTGTTGAGTAAGCCCTGCTTTAGAAGATACAAGCGTTTAACTAAAACCAGTGTTCTATAATGTTTACCTGCTACCAGAAAGATCTTTAGGAGGTGGGAATCATCTTTACAAGAGTGTAAGCTTTGTAAAAATAACATCAATGAAAAACCAAAAAAGCTACTTCTTTTAATTTTGCCAAAAGAATAATGATTCCTACAGGCCTAATAGTTGTCTTGTTGAAAATAATCAGTTATCAGTGAACATTCTCTGTTGCTCTTGGCAGATTCCCTATACAAGTGTTGAAAATACATGTTCTGGAAAGTGTGACTGAGGTGCTTCATATCTGTAATGTTCCTCTTGTCGCTCTTCCTACAGGAGGTGGATATTGAAGGCAGAGTGCGCCTGGTGATGGAGAGCGCTTTGACGGCCCGGGACAGGGTGGGGGTGCAGGACTTTGTCTTGCTGGAAAACTACAACAGTGAGGCGGCCTTCATTGAGAACCTACGGAGACGCTTTGGGGAAAACCTCATCTATGTAATGAAGCCAATTTTCCTTCACATGTTCCAAAACACTTCAGCTGGTATGGTGAAACATTTTAAAATGTGATCTAATGTTTTGCCGCAGACGTATATTGGCTCGGTTTTGGTGTCGGTGAACCCTTACAAAGAGCTGGAGATTTACTCCAAGCAGCAGATGGAGCGCTACAGAGGAGTCAGCTTCTACGAGATATCGCCGCACATGTGAGTCCCCTCATGGTCCTCACACATGAATGTTTAAGGCCTCTGCTGGAAACTGCCCAGCTAATATTCACACAGTATGCTGAGAAAAATATATTGCTAAATGTATTCTCAAACAAGATTTATTGAGGCATGCATGAGATATATGTTTCTTTAGTAATTAAACCTCCACATATAGCTCAATCATTTTAGGGACGCAACTTATAAATGATTTCCATATCAAATGATCTACTGTTTTCTTGTCAGTCCCTTGATATATTAATTGTTTCGACTCTAAAGACCTTAATATTATTAACAGAATAAATGTCCAAACATTCTGAATGTAATCTATCATGTTGTTACAATCCGTAAGAAAATGTTGTTTTACAAATATATTTAAAATAACAAGTATGTAAACTACTGACTTTACATTTTAATCTGTCATTACAGAGTTGTATTTAATCCATTTGACGGATGTATTCAACTTCAAATTCAGTTTAACATCAATTTTAGTTTATTTACAGTAGACGTTATCCTGAATCTGTCAGAAAAGAAAAGACACACTATTGCAAACAAGAGTAATCACCCACTCACCTCATAATGTTAATATGTCAGCAAGGTTAAGATTCTTGAAGATCTTCCTCTTCAGCGATCATATAATCACAACAGGATTGTTTGGCTTATCAACACACTGCGATTTGGGTGACCCAGCTGACGGTCTTAGAGAGATCATATTAAACAGAAAAACCTATTTATTTTCAGCGTTGATTTAAAATGATGAACAGAGCTTGCCTCCGAGATGGCAGTCAGAGATTATTCCAGAGAAATAGAGCTCAGTGGGCAAAGGCTCCACCACTAAACATTTCTTATCAAATCAAGAAATGGTTAAGTAACAGGCAAGTGTTTGTGTGACTGTATTCCACAAAGTTTCAGCGTATTGATCTGTTGTTGTTTTTCCCCCTCAGCTATGCTTTGTCAGACAACACTTACCGGGCCATGCGGACCGAGAGGAAGGACCAGTGTATTCTGATATCAGGTGAGAGTGGAGCGGGTAAAACAGAGGCGTCCAAGAAGATCCTCCTGTACTACGCCGTCACCTGCCCCACCAACGATCAGATGCCTGCCCTCGGTGAATGCCTGCTGCAGTCCAACCCCGTCCTGGAGGTATTTCTTCTCTTAACTCAACAAACATTACAGTTGAAAGCCCAGTGTATTTAGACTTATTGCTTTTTACAAACATATGATACTATCCGGACCTTTGCTTGTTCTTTATTTGTAAATATTGTTTGATTTTGTTCTATTGTTGCTCTTAATTTCCCTTCCTCCTTCTAATTTCCTGGCTTGTTTGCTTTGCTCAGGCATTTGGGAACGCCAAAACATTTAGGAACGACAACTCCAGCCGCTTCGGAAAATACATGGATGTCCAGTTTGACTTTAGGGTAAACACTCCCTCATTTCTCAAACTTTTATATAAATCATATGCGCTTAAATCATACTGATAACACCAGTTAGTTATACCATTAATAGAAGCTCAGACTTTTGAACCTGCTTTTAATAGTTGCTGTTTTTCTGTAACTTCCCCTATAGGGGGCACCAGTAGGCGGTCACATCCTGAACTACCTGCTGGAGAAGTCCCGTGTGATTCACCAGAACCACGGCGAGAGGAACTTCCACATCTTCTACCAGCTGCTGGACGGAGGGGAGGACGACCTGCTCACCACGCTGGGCCTGGAGAGAAACCCTCAGAGCTACCAATATCTGGTAAAGGTGTGTGTGGTGCAGGTTATTTGTTTGTTTCCAAACTGAGGTCAATGCAATTGTTCCATCAGTTGTGCTGTAATGTTTAATCATCTTGTTCAGGGAAACTGTCCAAGACTCAGCTCCGTCAGTGACAAGAATAATTGGAAAGTCGTGATGAAGGCGCTGTCCGTTATTGGCTTCACAGAGGAAGAGGTGCAGGTGAGAAGCAGTCAGCGCCTGGAATGATTTTGACCTGAATGCACGCTACAAAATAACTGTTTTGTTTTTAACTAATAATCTCTGGTTTAACACGCTCAGTGGAACACTTTAAATGACAACTTATAGGTTTTTTTCACATAAAGGCAGTTAGTTAGTTTTATAAATTCTTCATATAGTCATACATTAAAATGCAGTCAAATTATGTAGAACACATTGATGGATTGGATTTAATACATTCAATGTTCTTACAATTTGCATAATAATGGGAATATTATTTTCCACCATCAATATGTGTGCTGTTTAATATCCTTCATTCTTTCCCTTGGCCTCATCACATCACATTTCCCATCATCATAAACACATTCAAAACTGTTTAAACCACAGGACCCTGTGCAGTTTAAATGGCGAAAACCTTTTTTACAAATAATTTGTATACTCAACATTCTTTTTTAGTATGCAACATTTTGAATATTTGTATTGTTCAAGTAAACTTGCTTACTCAAGCATTTGTGTTGACTATTTAATATGAGAGTTGTTTGAAAAATACTTTTTTTTACCTAAAGCACACTTTCTCTGGTTCTGATGGATGTTATTAATATTCTCAGTGACCTTCCAGACATTGATTTGAGTTAAAGAACAGATCGTTCCTCTGTGAGGTTTTTGTTAACTGTCCTTCCTGTGTCTGACCTCAGAAATTGCTGAACATCATCGCAAGTGTTCTCCACCTGGGAAACACTCAGTTTGGGGAAGGCGAGGAGGGAGAAACTTACATCACCACCGAGACTAAGATAACAAGCCTCACAAAGGTCAGAACAGTCTCACTGGTATTATCAGATGTTCAAATATGCAAAAACATTCGCAGAAAGTCCGAACTGAGAGCAGATTTGTTGTTTTCCAGCTGCTGGGTGTCGATGGCTCGGCCCTCGGGGAGGCACTCACTCACAAGAAACTCACTGCCAAAGGAGAGGAGGTGACGTCATAGTGTCCTTGATCCTCATGTTTTCTCTTATTTAGTGTGTGTTGTGTTGTTTTATAAATGTGTCTTGTGCTTGCATCCGCGCTTTACAGATGATCACCCCACTCAGTTTTGAGCAGGCGGTGTCTGCCCGCGATGCCTTAGCCAAGGCCGTGTACGGTCGGACCTTCACCTGGTTGGTGGAGAAGATCAACCAGTCGCTGGCTCTGAAGGTGCAGTAACTCAAATTCCCCCATCATGTTGTGAGGCCTTGTACGGAAGCCCTTAGGGGACTTTTTAAATGATAATGTGGACTTGAAATTGAATATCTAATTCCACAATATAACATTTTTCACACATGTATGTGCTATTTGATTTAAAATAAAAATGCAATAATTCATTTTTCATAAGAACATGCACATACTCGAATGGGCTTTCTATGACCATATTCAAATAAAATGAAAAGCTGTTTGACATCTTATTTTAAAAGTTACACTCCGATTTGACAATATTTAAATGTTTCTTCAAATCTGACATTGGAGGTGCAATATATAACAAATTTACAGTTTTGCAAGCAATATTGAAGTCCAAATAAAGATGTTTATACCTATTTGAACATTATCATTTTCATGAAGTCAGTTATGGGCTACCAAACTGTTATTTTGTTTACCATTGCATGTTCTGTAATGTACATTATACAGGAGGAAATCTACCACAGCGGTAAGGGCTGCTCTGTCATAGGGCTTCTAGATATCTACGGCTTTGAGGTCCTACAGCACAATAGGTATGCGCTTTATTCATTTCCATTCTCTCTTACACCTTAATCTGCTTCACAGTCTCTTATTGTCCCGATTGCACAAAGCTTATACATAACTCTAGCATGCAAGTTTCCACATTCCCTTCCATTTCTCCCCTCAGCTTTGAGCAGTTCTGCATCAACTACTGCAACGAGAAGCTCCAGCAACTGTTCATTGAGCTCACCCTGAGATCTGAGCAGGAGGAGTACGAGACCGAGGGAATTGCAGTGAGTTGAGTGGTCAAGACAAATAAAATGTGATATATTTTGATATACATTACTATGCTTACACTACGCTGTTCTACCTTTTAATGTCAGTGGGAGACGGTGCAATACTTTGACAACAAGATCATTTGTGACCTGATCGAAGAGAAGCACAAAGGCATCATCTCCATTCTGGTACTGTATAACAACTTTATAGGTTTGTCTGTATACGATGTTGTCTCTGTCACTGTGGGTGAAGTTAAATGCTTTTTTTTCAGGATGAGGAGTGTCTGAGACCTGGAGAGACCTGCGATGTCTCCTTTCTCGAGAAGTTGGAAGACACACTGGGCGGCCATCCCCATTTCGTCACGTGAGCATCATCTTGTATCAAATATCATCAAGACATACAGTACAAATACTTTATTATCCACAGCTTCTTGTACCAGCAGTCCTGTGCATGTTAAAACTCCTACATGTGTGTCTTTCAGTCACAAGTTGGCAAATGGAAAGACTCGCAGGGTGATGAGCAGGGAGGAGTTCAGGCTGCTGCACTACGCCGGAGAGGTCAACTACAATGTCAATGGTGAGATGGGGTTTTCAATAACCAGATGATTATTTGTATTCATGCATTTATTCCAGTCTTATAAACCCGCTGATTCCTTATTGACAAATGTCTGTGTTTTTCTTTATCTGGTATAGGTTTCCTAGACAAGAACAATGATTTGCTGAACAGGAACCTGAAAGAGGTGAGAATAATGAAAGGTAGAGTCTCACCACAGCCTTCGAAATCCTCGGTCTCCTGAGTGAAGAGGAAGAGGAGGTGGTGGGGGGGGGGGAGTGCCATGTTGACATGTGGTTGTGTGGTTTGGTCTCTGTCCAGGTCATGTGTCAGTCAGACAACCAGATCCTGAGTCACTGTTTCCGCAAGGAGGAAGCGATAGACCAGAAACGCCCGGAGATGGTGAGAATCTCTCTTTCTCTCTCTATCTCTGTCAACATTGCCAATGAACCCTCTCTCTCCTTGAAAAAACCCAAACACATGCCCACGAATATACAGAGAATTTCCCATAGTTTAATGCTGTTGTTTTTTTGTTTTGTTTCTTAGGCCGCCACTCAGTTTAAAAACAGCCTGACGAAACTTATGGAGATCCTCATGTCTAAAGAGCCGTCCTATGTGCGCTGTATCAAACCAAATGATGCCAAGCAGCCAGGTAGATATTTACATCTTGTAATCATATTGTCTTTAAAGGCTTACCTGGTTAATTTCCACATAGTTATCACTACAACATAGTTTTACTCAAACCCAACAATCACTGCAGATTTCACAATAAAAGCCCCGCTGGGAGGGGAATAAACGATGGCATTTTAATTCGAAAGAGATGGAGGATGTGTTGTGATTAACACAGGAAATACAATCAGAAAACAAGAAGGTTTATCCCTAAAATTGAAAAATAACCCAAAAGACCAAAATAGGGAAAACAAGGCCGATCCTTCAAAACACATACAAAATATTTGAGGTATATCAATTATTGACTTAAGACATATAATATCTCCACAATGGCTAAACTGCTTTTTACCATTTAAAATGGATGTCAAACTACCATATTCCTTCCTTCTATTGATATTTGAACTGTGTAGTTAACCCTCAAGAATCTCTTAGGGATGATCCCAATAAAGTAATCATTTTGAGGACTTGCCATATGTAATCATTCGCATAGTATATAATAAGTACCATCAGATTTGCCAATCTTGTATGAGTCAGAGGTTAATGATATCTCCCCCTGCAGGAAGGTTTGATGAAGTTCTGGTCCGACACCAGGTGAAGTACCTGGGTCTGATGGAGAACCTGAGGGTCAGGAGAGCTGGCTTTGCCTATCGCCGTCGCTTTGAAGCCTTCCTGCAGAGGTGACTGACATCTCTCTAAACTCACTGCCTCGATGACTGTTCATTATGTATGTACTCTATGTTCAGCCTATTGTCATTATAATGGTTTGTTTAAATGACTTTAGGTATAAGCCCCTCTGTCCCGAGACGTGGCCCAACTGGCATGGCAGACTGTCTGACGGTGTCTCCACACTGGTCAACCACCTGGGATATAAAGCAGAGGAGTACAAACTGGGCAGGTAATGTGTTGCCAGGGGGAAGCTTAGTGGATACAACCCACACTTAATACATTCATGCAAACACTTTATATTGTAGTGTTCATCAAGAGAAATGGTACAGCTGTGTTGATAATAAATGTCTTTGGCTATGATCTGCAGGTCAAAAATCTTCATCCGCTTCCCAAAAACTCTCTTCAACACCGAGGATGCACTGGAAGCAAAAAGGCCAGATATTGGTGAGTAAGCAAGGACAGCGAGTTGAGAATTAAAAAGATTAAAAAATGACTTTAATAACATTAAACGGCAACATATCACCTCACTGTAATCATCATTTTGGATAAATAATGAATAAACAACTTGGCCTGATAATGCTTAACTAGGGATTCGAATTGTTCACGTCTCATACCGATACTCCATCCATGATGAGTATCTGCCAGTACCAATCCACAATCATCTTTTCCTCTTTCTTAAACAACTGAGCTGTTAACAATACATTTGTATCCGCTACACTTTGCCTGACCTAGCCATCCCAAATCCTGCTCAAAATGAAACACAGGAAGGAACACAACGTGACCTGTGCAATATTGCGGCTGCTTTTTTATTTCCATTCTTTTTACACAGAACTTCTGGCAACCTTTTTGATCTGTCAACATTATTCCAACACCCACGTTTTCATGTGACACATGCTTATCTGTGCTCCCCATGGCATATCACTTTGTTATTTTACAGTTTGTCACTGTTATAGTTAAGCCCAAGGGAACAATGCATTATACTTTTATCCAGTTATTTTGGCAAGTATCTGTCATATATATATATGTCCGACTCTCTTACATGTGTTTTATCCCAGCTTTGACCCTGCAGACGTCTTGGAGAGGCTACAGGGAGAGAGCCAAGTACCAACGCATCAGACGAGCAGGTCAGAGCGCCCCCTGCTGCTGACCCCTCTCCCTTACAGAACAGTGTCACTATGCTCATTTATAAAGAAATATAACTACTCACATCAGGTTTATTACGTATTTATTTCGCCTTCCAAACTTTAGTTTGATGGGGGTTTATTGACATTTTTACTTCTTTATATGTTTGTTTTGGGTTTCTTCAATTGTCATATTGGGCCTTTGAGCTTTGTTAAATGTATGTACACAAACGTAAAGATACCTTTTTTTTAAATGTATACATTCCAGTTCATGTATTTAGATTTATATGTTTTTTTTGTTGTCTGTAACTTGTTGTTGTTTGATGTTTTCTTTGACTGAGAAGACAAGTTGTCCCGGGGTTAATACATGCATGTATTTGTACTTATAGTGATAGTGATCCAGTCAGGGTGGCGGGGGATGAAAGCACGCAGGAGGGCTAAGAGGCGTCGCCAGGCTGCTGAGTTAATACGCAGGTGCCTCACTGATACTTTGTTAATGTTTGTTTCTCTAAATATTTTGTACACATTTTGCATGTACAGCTAACTTCTTTCTCTATCTGTCTTCATTTCAGGCTAATAAAGGGCTTCATCTACCGCCATGAGGAATTCTGCCCTGAGAACGAGTATTTCCATGATCACGTGCGCTACTCCTTCCTCAAGAACCTACGGAAAAACCTGCCCAAGAGCGTTTTGGACAAAAGCTGGCCGACACCTCCTCCCTCTCTCATTGAGGTACACCCACTATTACAGACTTATAAAAATAGTTAATAAGTAGTAATAATGCAAATTCTATATTGTAATTCCCTTGGCTCTCGACAGGCCTCTGACCACCTGCGGAGGCTTCACATGAGAAACATGGTCGCGAAGTATTGCCATAGAGTCCAGCCTGAATGGAAGAAGCAGGTAGGCTCACTGCAGAAGGCATGGCCTAACTTGTTTTGAACAAAAAGAACAAATCTGCTAATTTTCTTTTCTCTTGCTTGTTTTTTCTTTCGTTTCTCAAGATGATGCAGAAGGTTGTCGCCAGTGAGATCTTTAAGGATGAGAAAGACAGCTACCCTCAGGGTGTTGGAAGGCTGTTTTTGGACTCCAGGCTGGGTACGTGTCGATACACGCATCATTTAGCTCTGTACTTACTATCTACGGCAGCGTATTCAGTCCATTGTAGGTTTAAACAAAAGTAAAACATTACAGAGCCAGGGGAGAAGAGAAATATTGCAAGAAAAATCTCAGCCTTTTCTAAGATTAATCATTTATGACGAGGTTCCTTGACAAAAAACAAGAATCTTCTGAGTTGTTGTCTCATTCAAATATGACTTTAATGTCAGAGAATTATAGTAAACTTGTGAGTTTTGTCTTGTTTTTTGTTTTATTATTTCTGAGTTTACTTCTTCTCACGGTTGCTCTGTAACACCTTTTCAACCTATGTGGCTAAATGAACACCATACAGAAGATGTTAAGATAGGCTTTCTAAAAGATACTTTCCCATTGCTTTGTATAGAACGTGAGCAGATCAATCTGAAAGTTGTCCAGACCCTCGGCAGTGACAAAGTGCAGGTGGGATTAACCTTTATTTATCCTGTGCGATTATTATAAAAGTGCTGCATAACTTTTCCGCAGGCTCTTACAAATGCGACTTTCTTGTGCTTCTCAGTACGGCGTTACGGTTGTAAAGTACGACAGGAGGGGTTTCAAGCCCCGCCCTCGCCAGCTGCTCCTCACTAACACTTTCGCTGTGCTGGTGGACAGGACCAAGATCAAACAGAGGATCGACTACGCTGCTCTGAGAGGTAAAGAGGGGGGCAATTTGATACATTATATATGATAAGATATAGAGCGATGTCCTTTAATCCATGATCACTACTGAGCTCATTGTAATTGGGGTTTGAGATTGTATGAGCTACTTATCCATAGACGCTTTACAGGAAATGGATGTTTTAATGCACACAGTTTAGAGAAGCAGACAGGAGTACCAGCCCTAAAGCTGTAGTTTGGTTAGTCTAGTTTCACCACAGTCACACAATTACGCAAATGAATGAGGCGGCGGAAGACTAGCAGCTCCTGTGTTCTGCAATGTAAAACTATGGATTTTGTCAATGGATCAGGTGGCTTTGATTAGAGCAAAGCAGTTTCAGTTCCCCATTGGAAAGATCTGCCTGAAAACAAGATAAAGCAGTGAAACTATAAGAGTTTAATGATCTTATAAAATAACCCTTTCGCCTTTTACTGACTAAAGAATGTGGCTCAAACGTAATTCAGTGTGATTGTGTTCTTTGGTTCAATAAGTCTAAGCCAGGTTTTCTCTTATCAGGTATCTCTGTGAGCTCTCTCAGCGACGGGATGTTTGTGCTGCACATGCCCAACGAGGACAATAAGCAGAAGGTACAGTAGGACCCTCAGAAGTGACTGTTTTACCGGTGACAAACGACTCTAAATCCATGCTGTGTGTTCCTCAGGGCGATGTGGTGCTGCACTGCCACCATGTGATCGAGGTGGTGACTAAACTATCAATGATGGCCAGCAAAGTCAACTACGTCAACATCAGCCCGGGCAGGTGAGGCTTCCCTGCCTGCTGCTCTATGGTTATTTGTTGGAAACCCATTATAACTCATCTCTTCCTCCTGTGTTTTATTTGTCCCCCACGCAGCATAAGGTTTGTCGTGGCTCGAGGCAAAGAGGGATTCATTGATTTCGTCAGGGGGTCGGAACTGAAGGTGGCCAAAGGCAAGCGAGGACATCTGCTGGTGGTGAGTCAGCGACTGATCTGGAGTCATGTGTTTTGGAAAGGGGATTTTGGGGAGGTAACTGTTCAATCTGATTTCCCTCCACAGACCGCCCCTCAGATCAACTCTGCATGAAGAAACCTAAAACAGCGTCCAGTCAAACGGTAATCCTTTTAGCTCACGGGAGGATTGCCGCTTTAGAAGTTGTCCTTGTTCGTTTGTATCTTGACAAAATGCAGCACAAGCACATGCTCAAACAGAAGGAAGTTCCCTTATTAATTAATACGCATCAACTTTATTACGAATGTCTTCAATGTTGCAAAAATGACTGATCTTTTTTTATAATAAGAAAACCATAACATGAAGTCTTCACTGTTTTTCAAATGCTCTTTATTGTCAGTCATACATAAATACATTTCCATTCTATCAATATAAAATATAATAATGTTTTAACACTGTATCTCTATTGTAAGAGAAATAAAAATACTTTGAAATAAATAACATGTTAATAAATATGTCAATAAATAATTAAATATATTTTTGGAAAGTCCAGTATAGTGAGGGGAAAAACAGGATGTTGGGAAGTGTTGTCTGTGTTGGGAGCTTATTGCTAACTGTAAGTTAGAGAGGATACAGAAACTGTGGGAAATACCCAAGAAAACCCTTAGACATACAGTAAAACATCATGTAAAAAATGTGACTAGCAAAAATAAGATCTCCTAAAGTACTAACTTGGGTATTATTCCCAATAAGTGCTCATTGCCTTCTCTTAGTTTTGCTGTTTTTTTGTCGTCACGGTTCTGTTTCAGCGCTGAGTCATCAGTGTGTTTTCGAAGCCAGAAACAGGAAGTCTCTTGCCAGCCTGGTGAGGTAAAGGTCTAGATCCCGCAGAATGATGTAACCCTCCACACTGCTGTCCCAAACCGTTTGGGATCTGTTTTGAGGGTTTAATGGTGTAGGAAAGGTTGGCTTTGTCCAAGAACTCCTCATGTAACTCATCTGAAGAAGAAAAAGTATTATTTATCAAAACCATGGCATCATTCCTCCAAAATACTTAATGTGGGGGTTAACAATGTGAGTGTGTTTCAGTAAAGAGCTTGTGGATACCTGGCTGCTGACTTGGCTCATCAGGTCCCTCAGGTCATGCTGAACGTGCCTGATGTTCTGAGGTAGGGTGGTGCCGACCGCCCGAGACACCATCTGCTCTTTCTCGTCCCCCTCCAGCTGTTTTCTCTTCCGGTCCAGCCTATTCCAATAGGCCTGCATGTCCACAAATGCACTGTGCAGTCGTTCCCAGTCCTGAACAAGAGAAGGTCACATTATTACATAATAATAATAATAATAATAATAATAATAATAATGCCGCGCTTAAAGTTGTTAAAGGGGAATTCCAGTCAAAGTTTTACAAGTTTTATATTCTGCAAGAGCAGACTTGACAATGTATCATGATTGCGGGGGAGAAATGATCAAAACAATGAAACTTGAGAATGTGTTTAGCAGAAATACATCACAGTGATTTTCTATTTGTTTTGAATAAATACTAACCGTGAGCTTTAGCCAGCTGTAGAAATCTGTAGAAAGCAATGGCAGGTCATTTAATTGCCGGCTTCTGTCCTCGAAGTGCTTATTCCCCAACTGCTGCTCCTTCTATTGAAGTAAAAACATTGAAACATTATGTTTAGTAAGAGAACGCTAGTACCGTCTATATAACTATAGAGCAGGGAGTGGTGTGCAGTACTCACGTATTTCTTCTGCAGCTGCTGGACACGGGTTCGGGTTGACCTTGTGAGGCTAAAGGAGTCTTTGTATTTACTCTTCTGGAGGACTGGAGATGGAGAAAAGGACTTCACACAGCTGAGGACACAGCAAAGGAGGAAGAGAGCTCGCCAGCAAAGAGTCATCTGAAACAGAGATAATGGTTATAGATCATCTGATGTTCACACTTCATTATCTCAAATAGCTAACATTTAACAACACAAAAAAAAGGGGGACCCACAGTATCACTTCCAACATCAAATGACAGCGTTCCGGTTAAGCACACTGGTTCTGTTTATGGGAACCTAACTGGCCATTTGCATACCAAGCATTGGAAGGAAGTCCACTAATATGTCTAAAAACAAAACCCATATCCACAACCTCTACCACGAGGCATCCTCATGCTTTCTTTCTTGTGTTATTCAGTGACACGTTGACAGCTGCACGTTCATGGAAACAAAAATGTCCTGATTCCTTAAAAATAGTTTCAGTTTGGAAGTATTCGCTCAGCATTGTCACAGACTTTCTTCCTGGTGAGTCAAGCTCTTTCTCAGTCACTGAATGTATGGCAGTGTTCCCTCATGATCTTACTGACAATAAAAGCTAACACAATTCTACACAAATAAACAGCAGAAGTGTCATTAGATGTTATCATGCATATACAGAATCACTGCAGCTGTCTGACAGGCCTAATAACATACATTTTGAAGTGTGTTCAAGAAAGAAAAACAGATTGTTACCTACAAATGTTTCCCTATGTTTACATAAACACCACTGTGCACCTTTTTAAGAAAATAGCCTGCTGTCGTTTGTTTTAAATGCTCACATGATACACTAACCAAAAAGATATACCTTGTGTGTATATATATATATACTTATATAGACAAATACTAAAACAATTAATCTTTTCATTTCTAAAATATCTATATTTACAAGATGGTCTTACCTTGGAGGAGCAGTGAACAGTAGTAAGATAGCTTCATGTTATAGTAAGGCGTGTGTACTGTTTATATATCTTTCATGTCTTAGTTTCAGTTTCTCGCATTGCTGGGCTTTTTTATTGTTTTCCTTCCTCTCTCTCTCTCTCTCTCTCTCTCTCTCTCTCTCTCTCTGTTTCAGCATCCTGCGGCCTGTGATTCATTCAGAAATGTGAGTTGGGGAAGCAAGTTATACAGAAATGATTCTACTTAGGGAAAAAGTGTTTTCTTGAGCGAGGAATAAATGTTTAGGGAGTTATAGTCTGCAATTTGAATTTTTATAATAAACACTTTCACATTTTGTGCTTTTAGTACATAGTGAGGTTGTTTATTCCAGCATATATAAAGTTAAATGTCACACTGACAATCAGATAAGGATGGAACATAAATCTTAATTTGATCTAATTGGCACTTTTGTATTCCCCTGCATGCTTATATTCTGTTTTTCTTCTCTTTAAGGGACACATTTTCTTCACAATTACAGCAATGAGTATTACTGCACACTCAAACAATGACAACACACACAGATACATTGTCTTCTTCCTGTGGAGTGTCATCACATGGTCATGACGATGAAAGTGGGATGTCTGAAATCTGAAACTTTTTTTCAACAGGGAAACGTTTTGACTGTGCATCTTAAGGGAATATTTGAGGAGTCTCATGATGGACATTAGTAATGACTGCCACAGTTTCACTGAATCTCACTAAACAAAAAAAAGTTTTAAAGTTTCCTCTTATCACAACTGTTATCATCCCTGACTGTCATTATTGGAAGTAGGTGTTTTTTCAGAGTTCTTGACATGAAGGCAATTCTTATCCCCCTGTTTTTTACGTATGCACCTATTTATTTCCAATCCAATCCAACTTTATTTATATAGCACAACAGAGTTGTACATCAATAAATATATAAAAAGCAGCATACATACATTTAGACAAAACCACTCGGACAAAAAACAAATGCAAAAACACGAGACAATAAAACCAATTTAAAAGCACAGACTGATAAATCTTATACGAAGTCTGCAAAAGCACGGGAGAATAAAACCAATTTAAAAGCACAGACTGATAAATCTTATACGTAGTGCAAAAGCACGGGAGAATAAGTGAGTCTTTAAACGAGATTTAAAAACAGGCAAAGTGGGAGCAAGTCTGATCGGGGTTCCAGAGCCTGGGAGCTGCTACAGCAAAGGCCCCGTGGACCGCAGGGAGGAATCTGTCAGCATACCTCAGTGACCATGAGGATGTATAATGTTGTAGGAGTCCTGCCAGGTAAGGTGGGGCCAAACCATTAAGGGCTTTGCAGGCAAACAATACAATTTTTTAAATCGACTCGATTTTATTGGAAGCCAGTGTAAAGATGGCAGTACAGGTGTAATGTGCTTGCGTGTTCTCGTGAAAAGGCGAGCAGCAGCATTTTGAACTAGCTGTAAGTGGGAGATGGAAGCCTGGCTAACTCCAACGTAGAGGGCATTACAGTAGTCAAGTTTAGTTGTGATAAAACAATGTATCACCCTCTCAAAGTCATTAAAAGAAAGGAAAGGCTTGACCTTTGGTAAAATTCGCAGCTGACAAAAGCTGGATTTTACAACAGAATGAATCTGTTTATCCAATTTAAAATCCCGATCAATCTGTACACCAAGATTTGTAACATTGGGTTTTATATATGGGACCAGAGAATCAAGCACAAGCGGGGCATTTTGGCCACCAGTGGGTCCAAACACTATCACTTCTGTCTTATTTTCATAAACATTTGAAAGGTTCAAGGCCATCCAGGCTCTTTATTTAACCAAAGCCAACATGTTCTAGCCTATTTTTACTCTTGATTTCAAATGAATTATACAATCTTAAAACCAGATGGGAGAGAGCATCTTAATAGAAGATTTAACTATAGCCCTTCTCCTGATTTAGATTTGTGCTGATTAGCTGGCACTTGTTTCTAATGTCTTTATTTACCAAATGATTTTGCTTTTATTGATGTTCTCTTTATTTGCTCTGTGTGAAGCACTATGTAACTTGTTTGTTGAAAAAAGTTATGTTCAAATAAAGATGATGATGATGATGATGATATTATCAGTGACATACATGTGTGTTTTCTGGATCTGGGGCAAAAGAAAGGAATCCATCTACTGGAATCCCCGAAGCATCACTTGTGCTATGCAGAGTCATAATTTACGAAGAAAATAATTAAGAATAAATGGTATTGATCTGTTCTGTTTTCATGCCATATTCCAACCAAACAAGCTTGAAAATGTGTTGCTTTAATATCTTGTTGTTTTGTGTGGACTACAGGAAAAGTAGTTTGCAATAACTAACCTTTGTTTATTTTTTTCGAGTTTGCATCAAGTGTTTTTAATTTGAGTTTTGCATGAGCTGCCGCCTGATATTTTCATGGTCTTCTGGTTTTGATGCTTTGATACTTTGATACATGAAGTGATACATGAAGTGATACTGAATTGTTCTGTTTCATAAATTGTTTCTGTTTAAGCTACCTCTACATTTACTGTACTATTCCTGGTAGTGTAATGGAAAGTGTTATTGAAAGTATAATGCATCTTCATGGCTTAGGAGTTCCCTTAGCCATGAAAAAAACCGAAGATGCATTATACTTTCAATATTTCTTTACTTCCAGACAATTGTGCAACCACAAGGAAGTTGACCAATCTTTGGAGGTGAATTCCCAACCAGAGCTAAAGCATGCTACATTGGAAGTAACCCAACATTCAAACTGATTACTCCTGGGGGGGATATCCTGTCGTCATCATGAAAATTGAATTATGTTCATTAAAATGTGTGTTCATGGATCAATGAACTTTGAAGAAGTATAGTTCAAAATGTGGATGATTAGTGTTTTTACTCATCTGGTGTAAGTTGAATCACTGTTCAAAAAACATGTCCTCTTTAACCTAACTGCATTATTGATAATATTTGAATGCTCTTGCTGGTATTTACATTCCAGCGCTTTGATTCCATGTATTTGAGTGATTTATCATTCTGATGGTCTTATTGTCACTGGGGCCTTCTCTTTACGCTGCACTTGTGTATACCTGTTTTATTTTTACCCTGATTATGTGCAGAAAGAGTGTCATTGTCCTTAGGTTTAATTATCTTACAACCTACTCTAGTTCACGCTGTAAGAATGACACCACAAATGAGAACAAATCAAGCTTGTTGTAAGAGCTTACATTAGGATCAGGTGACAAATAAAGAGGATTACTTATTTTTTATTTAACAGATATTACATAATATGCATATCTTATTGTGGTAAGAAAAGTTACAGTGTGACTGAAACAAACAAAACAAGATGAGATCTTTTGTCAAATTTCCTCTGAGATAAACCTTATGCAATCCGTTTCATAATATCAAAAAATCTGCATAAATTCCTCTTCACCAGAAAGCTGGTGGTTTGCATCTACCTCTTTGTGGTGTGGGTGATAATTTCACTTTGGCATATCAGTGGGCAGCAGGAGAGTGTAGACGGTTCTTTGTACGGTTAATTTGCACAGCTGAGGCCAGAGGTTGTCAGTTTTACAATAAGTTAAGCAGGGTTCAAAGCTCACTCTGTCATGCAATACTATAATGTATCTCCGTCATACAGTTTCTTACTGCAGTTAACCTATATCCCCCTAGATATTTGTCAGCCAATCTGTTCAAATAAACTGCAGTTGCTTTTTACTTATAGTTTTATCAATGATATAGTATTCAAAAGTACGGAATTATTAGTGTTAACAATGTATTGCGCCAAATTGTTATGCATAGTTGAAATGAAAAGCTTCTTTTAAACATCATTGCTGTGAAGAAGCAACCACATGTCATGTATGTTAGTATTACATCGATTTCAATCACTTATTAATTTAGATTACAATAATGCATTTTTACACTACACAAACATACTGGGTTTTTGCTGAAAACTGTAAAGGAGGGGAAAAGAATACAAGTTCTTAAAGGTGTCCCACAGGGATCTGTATTAGTCCCCTTTTGACTTGTGCTTTAACCATTATTTATTTTCTACCTGAACATTGTAATGTCAGTCTTTAAGTTCACAACAAATACTTGTATGTGTGCCACCATAAGACAAATCTTCTTCAGGTTACAGACTGTTTATGAGGACCTCCAAACGTCTTATCCAAAGTTTGTGGCAAAACATTTTTGCATTTCATTACCTTTTATCCACAAATGTCAATGCCATAAATGTGAACAAATACATGCAGAAGACATCAGCATATACCTGTGTTTTCCTTTATAAGGCATTGCTAGCTGCTACCTTGCATGTTTGCTAACTGCTTTTTTGACTGGATTGCCATTTTCTGATGTTGTATATACGCACTTTATTTTCAGGTCTCTGAAAAGAAATAAAGGTTATACAAAAAAGTGTTTTGCTTATAATAAAATGCTGCCACAATTAGTCAATCAAGATACAAAAAAACACACCGACACACACTTGGAGGAGTTGACTTATAGAAACTGTAAAATAACACACTTAGGGTCAGTGGGTGGGTCATGGTGTTATGAACAAGCTGACTTCCTCTCAGAAAGAGAAAATGCTGAGTGCTTCTGGAGCTGTCATAACACATCAGGAAATGAGGAAGGCTTGTATAAGGGGAAGGGCTTCCCTCATTTTCTCAACCCCCTCCCCATCGTGTATTTCCCTCATACAGTAATTTTAAATTTCCATTGTGACGTGTACGGTTTACTCTCAGTCTATTTTCAGTCTCATTCATTGTGGTTTCAGGCCTCTGTTTAGTTTTGTTTTGTTAATCCTTCCCATTTTGAGACTTCCTCAATAACAGCACTACAGTATAGAGATTGCTTCCCTTATTAGGCTTGTGGTAAATTAGATATATTTTCATCACGTTACATACACAAGTTTCCTGCTAAGTTCCGTTAAACTGTCTCCTGTGATAAAAGGGCTACTAAGCTATCATATTAATATGTCAAATATGATATTTGAAAATACTAATAATGGGATCAAATGTGTAGCAAATGTTTAAGAAATAATTAAAACAGTTATTGTCTGTCCACCTTGGTTGTGCTTACCTGTTATAATTCAAATCAATTGATAAAATGAAAATAGCACAGCAAATTGAAAAAAAAGCTTTTATGGGTAAAACTCAGAAGTGAATTATTGAATAAAAAGGTTAATGAAAAAGATCTACAAAGCATAGTGCACCGATATTAAATAAAAAATAATTCAAAAAAGATATATCTGCAACTTCTGTGGTTCCTTGTAATATGAAATGTAAAAAATATGAAATGTCTAAATATAAGTTAAATTCCAGCCAGGGACCCTTACTCTTATTTATTTTTTAATCATGGAGATTTTTTTGAAGAAACCAGTGCTACAAGCCTTTAAGGAACTGTTATTTCATTTAATAAAAAGACAACAGCATGATATTTCATTTTACATTCTCATATTAATGCTATGTTTAAATGCAGAGACAATTCTGTTGCACTGGAAACTGCCTTTTTTCTTCTCTTTTTCTTTACAAGTTGCAACATAAACTCTGCCTTTTAGAAGAAAAATGTGTAAGAACCTGCACATTAAACAGATCAAAGATAACAAAATAGACATGAAATACACATATATTTGTTTCTGTTCTAATAGAATACATTTGAGACAGCGGTAACATCCAAGGTGATAGAGTTGATAAAATGGTCAAGACAGGGACATTTTGCTGTGAAGGAGAACAAAAGACAGCTGCACAAAGTTTATTTATGACAACAACACATTGTGATCTGGCGTGTGACCTGTTATAAACTCCCCATGATTTATATTTAGTTTGGATCTCTTTTAAGAAAGGGCGAGGGTGTTTGAGGAGAGTGGCCCAATTCACTGCTGGCCGCGACTCTTTTGTAGGGCTTCATACTTTTAAACGTGTTTGTTCATCTATATATTAGAAGACATTATGCATACACCTGAAGGTTTTTCACCAATATTTAATGTTTCAGTACCAAGGGTTTTAAACAAATTACACAGGTAGATGTTAATTTAATTTCTTAATACAAATAAAAAAACATATTTATTGAATGAATACATCAAATAAAGTTGATAAAGTTTCAAGTTGAAGTTGAAAAAGAAGTGCCATCTAACTGGAAAGAAATGTACATGTAATAGTATAAAATTATGAAATTAAAACCCCAGACATAAGACATCTAAAAAAATGTAAAGTAGGGTTTGATTTGTGTTTTTGTTTGTTCTTTGACACTAGAAAAATAGTTTTCACAATAATCTGCTGCTCACTAAGTGCTCACCTCAAATTCAGGTTGAAGAAATATCCATACAAGATTTTGTGACATCACAATTACTTGAGAAGTGTAGCATGTTCCAATCTACAATTTACAAAAACATATTCATAAAATAGACATAAATCTTAGATTATTCAATGTGAGATGAGGTGTAAAAAAGGTAATTGTTCATGTTTGTGGTATCAAAATATAGAAATGTATTATTTAGTATTTTAGATGTTTTGAAACTTGTATAGGGGGGACTTTAAAGGTCTTTAGGGACATGCAACTATCCGTGCTTGCAACAAATAAGAAGAGTGAGAAGGAGTTGGACCAAAGGTGACATGAAAGATGGAGTCTCCACAGAAACTCATCGTTGAAAGGAAGGTTTCAGTTCCTCACAGACAACGACAGACAAGGCCTTCTTTAAGTTTTGGCTGTAGGTCTTCAGTAAATAGCTCTTAACCATAAACTCATTGTAAATAAGAAGCTGGTAACACTAATCATACAGTTAAATAATGCTAAAAATACATTATTTAGAGACAGCTCTACAAGAGCCTTGATTAACCTCTATAATTGTCCCCATTTGATCCCGACGGACAAAAACATCTAAGGAGGACAGCTGCACAATCAAAAAGGAAAAGATAGCTTTAGATATTTTTTGTTGGGTCACCACCAGCTGGGTCTTATTTGTTTAGACAGCTTGATGTTTGAAGTCTTGGGTCCTTTTTGCGCAACACGTATTGGCTACATTGGATTTTATTCCTATAAAAGCTGCAGTAATTTCAGTGAAAGGTAGATGCGCTTAGGGTTGAGTTTTGCCATCTCCAACTTGATTTAGTGAGTCCCTCTCTAAACCGGTAAAATGTATGCAGCTATCACGCTCTTCGTCTTCATGTGCCTGTCTGCCACCACCAATGCAGATCACCACCATCATCCTTGTCGTAAGAATTTTACAGTTTCATCTTTTTGGTTATTTTTCTTATTCTTCTTAGTTGCTCGTATGTTATGTAGCTTTCGAGATTACCAAACTTCCTATGTGCCTTAAGAGTAAAAAAGGCCATGGTTATTTAAGATTAAAAAAGTATCTTATCTATTGTTTCTTAGGACCTAACTGACACTGTTTTCTTTCAGATGCACCCAATATGACAGGATTCATGTCCGTGGTGAGTTTTTTTTAAATGTGTCTTTAAAGGCCTGTTGTTCTTGTAGCACTTTATTTTAAAGCATTCTAAAGACATTGCTTTTAACCCTTTCTCTCTGACTGTCTGTTCCTGAATTACACCAGCTTGCCCTTAAGGGGGATATAAAGGGGTACGGTGCGTTCACCTACGATTCAATGGGCAAGAAACTACGGTTCAGGTCAAACGAGAGCCACCCCATGAACACATCAGTAGGATTGGATCTGCTGATGTTCTTCGACGAGGTAACTAGTTTCTCCCTTTAAAGAAAAGCTTACTTGATGTTGTGTTGCGCCTTTGATGTCTGAATCTGTACCAATGTGCGTCAGGGGATACTCTACGAGATTGACAGCAAAAACAAGAGCTGTGAGAAAAAGACACTGCATTGCACCATGCACCCCCTGGACGTCCCGGATGATGCTACGTTCATGTCTACGGCCAACGGTGGAAGTCCAACCATTGAAGGGGAGGGATTGAAAGTCACTACCTGGACTGGTTCAACGGCGGACATGAAGGGTGAGAGAAATGCTTTAAAATGATACGTAGACTAATCTGTCTTTTTTACAGAGGTCATAAAGATATGTTTTCTCTGTTTTTCAGGCCACTACTCCATGTCTGTAACCATGGGTTGTCTGCCTGTGTGGAGCTTCTTCTTCCACGAGTCCTCATCATTCTTTGTCAGGTTGGTGAAATCTTTTAGGGAAATGAAAACCCTCTAGTATATCGGCACAGGCTTTAATGAATGTCCTTCGAAAAAACCTCCAAGTCATTTTTCATTTCTTTCCAACAGCCTGACAGAGGTTGAAAATGAGATCAAGGATCCTGACCAGCTCCTGGTGCCGTCCTATTGTCTGGCCGTGCCTTTGGAGGAGACACCTGAAGGGACCGTCAATAGTTTCCTCAACGAGTTCATGTAGATGAAGCCTCGCCAGCAGAAAAACAAACCCCTATCCAAGTGTGGCCCGCCAGAGCTTTAGACCTTTTCTCTGCTTTTCATGTGTGACTCTACTTTTGCGTGTTCAACACCGCCCTACATCAAGTCTGTTTCTGTCACATCTTCCAATCCCCTGTATGTCTCTTAATGGATCATCCTGTATACATACACGTTGATGTAAAAGAAAAAGAATATGTCATGGATTATAGAAAAAGTCGTAATTACTAACAGTTTGGTCGCTTTTCAAGTTGCTACTGCTTACAAACCTGTAAGATATGATTAATGGAACAATAAAATGTCAAAGCTGTCAAACGTGTGAAGAGACATGATTTTTCATCCATGATTATTTTCTTATGAAGTGTTTTTTAATTGACTTTGTGCAACTTTATAACAAGCAGCTTTCACATCAAGAAACAGCAAACCATATAAGGGCTCTCTCCAGATGTATCCACTAGGGGGTTCTGGGTAAAAAACAGAGAATTAAACCCCAATTGACTTCCTGTTCCTTTAACTCACTACCCTATTACCAGAAACATCCATTAAGGAAAGTGTACTGCAAATTATTAATTACATTATTTCCATACTTCCACTAGCAGTAAACACAATGTTATCAATAAGCATCTCATAGCACAACTTTGGTAAGAGCTGACTGTCTCCAATAGAGTCTAACAAACAGCCTTTAAATAACTAGAGTATATAAAAGTTATCAGTATCACTAGGTCGCAATATTAAGACTTTTCTAGTCTGGAGGCCAGTCTACATTGTTCAAGTATGGATGTTCATACGGTTTCAAGATGGTCATAGTAGCTACCTAAAACTGACCAACCAAAATATAACAATAAAGAAAAATTGAAATGTTTTTTAAGGAAAACCAGTACTAACATTATTAGAGCTATTTATATAACCTAACTAAACTTACATACAATGTCAAATATTGGAGTTAAACCTTTTAAAAGATTAATTTCCTGCAATGGTTTGCTTTGTTTGTGAATGTAGCTGAACCATTGCATAAAAACATATATTGGTGTCATTATCTGTAAAGATTAGAACATATTTATCTGGGCAACTCCCAATTCTATAGCCTATATATTAATTCAGACAGAGAAAATGATAAGTCTTATAAATACAAATAAATAAAAAATATAAATATAAATATTTTAAACTTGTTCTGAGACATTTGTGCTGAAACTCACAGATGTGATAAAATGGACAATGCCTGTCACACATCTCATGGTTAACTACCTTAAAACAGAAGTAAGGATATTTTTTTAATGAAAGATAATGTATGTATTACAGCAATAATTTGTTTTAGCTGTTTGTTATGCATTCAGTCTTTAAACAAAATAAGTCCCCACCAGGCAACTGAGCACAAATCTTACAGAGACAGGAATGTATGTCTGTCAAATTATCAGTTTATCAGCCCAGCATTTCTACATATATAATATGTGTGGCTCCACTTTAAGGTAGGCCTAAATGTATCTATCTTATCACTAAATCTCTTTAAATGACATGTGAAATAAGATGTGTATCTACATGTTTACATGCAATATGAATTGGTGGTATGTAATCTAGGTAGTTCCAGTATGTCTCCATTAACAGAGACAAGCAGATTGATCTCAGACTTTGGTAGTTTTTGTTTTAAATTGATATTTTCCTACACATTGAGAGACAGTAAGCTTTGGAAACTTGAGAAAAGTTAGAAGCAGTGTTTGAATGGCGACAGTCTCCTCTCACCTGCACCTCCCAGACTTACCGACAGGTGGTGTGTGTGCGCTACATGCATAACAACGAAAATACAAACTGTACCTTGCTAGGTTAGCCACTGAGGAGCTTCTCAACGTTAGCTAGCAAATACAACTCTTATTCTGGAGTTTTGGGAAATGACAGTTTGTGCAAGAAATTAAAGAAAGTCTTCTCTTTGCAAAGTCCGAAACGTTTGGATTTTTTGGTTTGAATCCGTCTTTGATTTAAACGAGGTAAGTAAGTTGTAAAATGGCGGATAGCTAGCTAACGTTAGCATTATGGAGTTTGTCATTGATCCTGCTGTAATGGCTTGCTGACCAGGCCCTTAACACATGCGTTTAAGTGTGTGTTAACACACATTCATCATACAGTACCAGAATCAATTAAAATTAACGTGATTATTGAAGTCGAGGTAGCATTCCAGCTAGTGTTTGCTAAATAGTGGCCCCGTTAGCCAGCTAGCTACAGCTAATGCTAGGCAAGTTAGCAACTGATCTGAACATGTATCACAATCCCAGTCAAGTCAAGCCTAGTTCTGAGTTATTAGCTCGGTGCGAATAGTAAAGAAGGGGGTCTGAAGGTTGCTAACAGGATAATGTATTGGCCAAGATCACATTGAGTGAGGTTAGCTCGTATTAGCCAGCGAGCTGCTCGGCCGTCGTACAGATACGGGGCTCGTCAGGAAGCGATCAGGGAATCACAGACCAGCTCGGGATGAAACATCTGTAGGTGCGTTTGTAGTTCGGAAGTATCAACACTGGCTGTCAGAGATGTGTCAGAAACAACTTGGTTTTTATTCGAAGTAACATTGGAGTTCATTTTTGCAATGACTTGGACTAAATGCCCATGAGGATATCGCATTTCTTGTCTTAAAAAGTAACGATCGTTATTGAGGGACTTGAACCCAGCACGCATTCCTATTTATGGTCATGAGATCCAGAGTCAGGCCCCCGTCTATTCAGAACAGTCATGTTTTGTTAACATGGGCATTTTTGGATTGCCCGTCACAGTTTTAATGTGCCAGACAGTGTTGTGTAAACACGCCCCCACAGGTTTCCCTTCTATCACAGTATTTCCTGTCACCAGCGGTGTGATTTACTCGAATAATTTCCTTTTTTTTTTTTTAATGTTCCCCTTTATTCAAGAAAATGTAAATGTACATCAAACATTATTACACACAAAACATTGACATCAGGGGTACACAGGTGCATATACAGAGTAAAATATATATAGAAAGAAAGAAATATAAAGAAATGATTTATAAAAACGAAAGGTAACATTTCAATTAAATTATTTATCTAATACACATTTGGTTTTGATTACCTTCTTATTTTATTTGAGTTATTTTTTGGAGTTTCTTGTACTTTATCTAAGTATTTAATTGATGCTACTTTATACCTTTTCTTTACCTAACTTTAAAGGGAAAATATTGTACTTTATTCCTACTAGAGCTTTATTAACCTTTCAGTTTTAGACTACAACAAGCAAATGATGATGTCTCGGTAGCTTAATATGTACATTAAGCTACCGAGCATTATAAAATGAATTACCAACTGCTTCATTAAAGTGATGTACATATTTTTTACACCTGTAATAATAATTATCTAGTAATATTATAAGGTCATAAATAAATGGTCCATTCTGCTTAATGAATACTTTTGCTTTTGGCTACTTCAAGTATATCTTGATACTGAAACGGAAATAAAGATCTGAAGGCATCCTCCACCACAGGATTAAATGTTGAATTAGAAGTTGGGGACATTATTTTATATCAGACCCTAGGATGAATAATTGACAAGAACACCGTTATGTTCATGAAAATATTTTACAATCAACTGTATGCATAGAGGAAAGCAGTCACTTGCATACATAGGGATTTTTTCTCGAGTAGCTAGACTGCTGTTTCATGTCACTGCCAGGCTGGTGCATCACGGGTCATTTGTATTTCTGACAATAGAAACAAACATGTTCTCTTCTTCCTTGGTCCTGAGTATTACACTCAGTCTTAAATCCGAGACCTGTATCAGATGTACTGATTTGTATGTGAGGTACTGCAGCCAGGGTCGGTGTCCTCATTCATCAACTAACTCCTCTCATCGATCTTTTTTCCAGGTGCAGATTCCTTCTTGCTTGGTGTACAGAGCAGCAGAAGCACTCAGTCCAGCAGATCCAGAAAATGTTAAAGAAATGATAGCAGCGCAGGAATTGCACACAGACTTTCAATTTTCTCAGTAAGCAGTGCATCATTGGATATATATTCCTAAATCAAAAATGTATTTTAATGTTTCTTATTTGTTTGTATGCATGTACACTGTCATGTAAAGCTACACAAACTATTTAAAAAAATCTGTTTAGTGATTGTAATTACTCTATCTGTTGTTCACAGAGAGGCAGAATCTCAGTGGTCCTCAGATACTGACTTTGAGGATCCTGATGGCAAAGATGCAAAGACAGCAAAGGGCATGGTACGTTTCTTCTTCTTTCTATGGTTTTGGTCTTCACTTCACACCTTTTACATATCTGTCTATGTCTAATTCGGGTCACAGAGACTCTTGAGCCAAGCGCAACATGCATTCGGGGAAAGGCATGAAAAACCCTGGCCCAGATCCCAAGACTAACAGTGTAGAATTAAATGGATGTTATGCAGAAGCTGTGATTTAGACTGATCAGGAACTCCCACAACTCCCAGTAAACTGATGAGCTTTTCAGTCTACACACACACATATTAATTGAGAGTTCTGATAACACAATAACAAACTTTCATCTCTGATTTGACATTTTATCCATAACAGGCAGCCAAGAAGGGGAAGAAGGCGCCCGGAGATAAGGCCAAAGGTGGGGGGGCAAGGAAGGCCCCCGGTGCTGGCAGGGTGAACGGCCATCATCAGGAGAACGGGATGGAGAATATGACCCTGTTCGAGGTGGTGAAAATGGGGAAAAGTGCCACACAGGTGCGTAAACACGAGTATGGAGAATAGAGGATGTCTTGTGCTGTGGTTTCTTCTTATCTTCTAATGTTGTTAAAATATTTTTTCACATGGGTGGTAGCTGCAGGTTCCCTTTTTTTAAATGTAATTGTATTAGGGCTAGTGATGGGAAGATGTTATTCTGTATCGGAATCAAAAACACTCTCAATAATAGATCAATGTGACTTTATATCATTGGGATAATAAGAAAATAACTGTCTGGTTTATTTTCCAGTCTGTTGTTGATGACTGGATCGAGGCATACAAACAGGACAGGGATGTTGCTCTCTTGGACTTAATCAACTTCTTCATTCAGTGCTCTGGTTGTAAAGGTAAGTGTCTGACAGGATGAGTCTAAATGTGTAGCAGGTTCGGTGGCTTGAACGAAAAAATGAATATGCTGAACTTGTTTTGGTTTGATTCCTTCTACAGGGGCTGTGAGTGGAGAGATGTTCAGAAATATGCAGAACTCTGAAATCATCCGAAAAATGACAGAGGAGTTTGACGAGGTGAAGCAGGCTTTGTTTTATTCACTCTATTACAGTAATCAGATTTCTAGCATGTTGAAGATATAAAGTGAAATGAATCTGATCATCTCTCTGC